TCAAAACTCCTCCAACCTCTACCCCTTCCCCAATTCTAAAGCTGCTTTGACATTTTTAGGTATTTGTCACAGCAGCATCCTCCTTCTTGGTACCAAAATCAGAGAGGAAAATGAATGAAATGATGTTTATTTTTTTTTAAAGATTATTTATTTATTTATTTGAGAGAGAGAGCCCACGAGTGAGAGAGAGCCAGGGAGGAGCAGAGGGAGAGAGAGAGAATCTCAAGCAGACTACCTGCTGAGCGGGGAGCCTCAGTCGGGGATACATCTCAGGATCCTGAGATCATGACCTGAGCCAAAATCAAGAATCGTATCCTCAGCCCGGTGAGCCACCCAGGCGCCCCTGAAATGATCTTTATTGAAAAAATATAAAATTATATGAATAGGAAAAAGATCTGATTAGTAATCCCAGAAAACATATAGGCGTGAAAAAAAGACATGAAACTAAAAGAATTAACTCTAGAATGTCCAAAGTTAAAGAATTAATAAACTGGAAGAAAGAACTGAGAATTTTACTCAGGATGCAGTATAAAGAGAAAAATTGAAAGAGTTGTTTATATGGAGTGTTCTTTGAGAATCACCGTTTCATAAAATTTTAGTGGATTCTAGTAAAAGATAATAGAGGGATAGTGCAGCAAATTAGTCAAAGATATAATAGCTGAGAAATTTTAATATATATAAATAAAAATTGATAGAGAAAATACTAAACTTTAATTATCAATCCAACAAAAATTAGCCTGCATGAATAAACTAGGCAAGCCTCTAGAAAGTTTGATCAAGGTAGATGTGTACACACATAATAATTAGGAAAGGAAGAAAAAAGAAACCAGGAGAAATCTCTGATGAAAGAAAAATACAAAATAAGGTGGTCAGTGTAACTCAAAGTACATTGTAACGACAATAAATGTAAATAGATTAAATCACTCTATTAAAAATCAGAAATTATCAGCATGGATATAAAAAAAATCAGTTATATGCTGCTTATAAGGCACACTGCTATACACACATGCACACAAACACACTCTGAAACAGAAAATATAAAAAGGAAAAAAAAGAAATACACTAAGCATATATGAACCAAAAAAGAGCTGGTGCAACAATATCTGTCAAAATAGAATATGAAGTCAACACATTAATGTGAATAAAGCAAATAAGCTATACTTCATGAAAAGGCTATAGAAGTTATAAATTTGTATTTGCCTAACAATATAGAGTTAAACAATAAAACACCAAAAGCCAACAACTACAAAAATTCAGAATTACAAAATAAAATTGAAAAGCTCATGTAAGCATAATGGCAAAATTTAACACCTCTTTCAGAAACCACATATTTGGAGAATATGCAGAGAATCTGAGGAGCGCATAGGACATAATTGTGAATTTACATATGCCTGCACCCAAAAGACAACACAACAGAGGATACACATTCTCCTAAAGCATGCATGCAACACATTAGATATGTATAAAATTAACTGTATACTCTCAGTCACAAAAAGTCATAGTTATTCAAACCATATTATCTAATTACTATGTAATTTATTTAGAAATTAACTACTACCACTAGGAATTAAAATCCTATAGGTTAGAAAATCTGAAAAAAACAAAAGCTTAAACAATGAGTAAGTGAAAAAATACTTCACAAAGAGAATCATAAACTGTAATGGTTTTATCAACAAACTAAAATATGAAAAATTTGTGAGATATAGATAAAGCAGTACTTAGAAGTTATGAATAGTCTTATTAAATATATTTACTAAATTTAAATGAGCTAGCATTTAATCCAAGAAGCTAGATGAAGAAGTGAAAACAGTAAGAAAGGTGAAGGAACAGAATGGTAAAAGCAAAACACAAATTAATAACCTAGGAAAAAACATTAATGGAGATGATTTTTAAAATCTATTTCTTTGAAAGCTAATAAACTAGGCAAGCCTCTAGAAAGTTTGATCAAGGTAGATGTGTACACACATAAATGCATTATCATATAATGGAATACTAGACGGAGTGAACCAGGTCATCCATACAGAGGAATCACAAAACCTATGGTAAAAAGATAAAATTGCTGAATGATAAGAATTTCTGTAGTTTACTTATTCATTTAACAATGTTTTGTATGTTTATATATACAAATTGTGTGTGTGTGTGTATACATGGGTATGTTGTGGATATTTATGTAATAAAGTCACCTCTAATTTTCTTAAGAAGTGTGAAGCACATGGTGAAATGTTAGCATTTTTAAATCTTTCAAGAAATTAAATTAATATATGTGTGCTTGGAGTTTCTTTTTTCCCCCTTTACTCAATCCCATTCTTTCCTTCCACAGAGGTAATCACTATCCTGAAGACGGTGTTGTTTTGTTTTTTCTTTCCCAACTAGTTTTATATTTTTACATTTTGGAAAAACTCCCATTCTTACAAAGCAGTTTCTCTTTTTCCATTTTAGGAAATTATAACTTTCCTTTGACAGTTTGGTTTTCTAGTTGTTTATTTGACAAAGGAATGATACCATTTTTTAAAGATTAAGCCAACTAAATTAATACTGACATTTAGGCCCAGGACCATAAGGAAGCCAATTTTTTCTTAGCACCAGTTATGTTGTGGGTAAGTAAAACAAAACAAAACTGGAAAATAGAGTCACCATCCACTATAAATCTTCAGAGTATTACTGGCCCATTCGGCTAGCATAGAAAGAATTACAGAAAAATATAAAAGGTATCGTTCAGTGCTCTCTGAAAAGAAGTGGCTTCTTGTACTAATATATATTCCATTCACCAAATTCTTACATGTTGCTTTTGTGGAATAAACATTGAGTGATTATATATATATCCCACTTAATTTATCATGGTAATTAATCCCAACCATCCATGATATTAATTTGCTGATATTGGTAGCCTGTGAGTCGCTTTCTTTCTGGAATAAAATAGGAGAGTCATTCTAAGTACCTTTATTTTACTTCTGGAGATGTTTAACCTTAACTACATCACTAAGTGCAGATTGACTGATGACTACACACATCTTACTCCCAGGTACGGTAAAGGCCAATATCAGAATGTCTAATTGTCTTTTATTCATTCTAGATTAGGCAATTAAGTTCTTTTACAGTTTATCAGAGTTCCTAGGATCTTTTCCTCAAATTTAAGAAATAAATTGTTATTCTCAAGGAGACATTATGCTTGAGTCTCCTGAAGGAAATACTAACATTTATTAACCATTTTCCTAGGTCAGGAATCTCTTGAGTTGCCATTGACAAATAAGTTCAATTTCAGCTTTTCTTTACCTTCTGGTATTTCTAGCTCCTCTTCTTTTCAATTTTTTTTTTTTTTTTAATATCTTCCTTGGCTTAAAAACTCACAGATGCATTGCCCAGCCATGTTTTTTTGCCCCTTTTATTCTGGATTGTTGATATTTAGAAGAAATTTAATACAAAAATGCAATTATTCCCAAATGCATCACACCGATATCAGATTTTTTACATAATGAATAAAAATAGTATATCCCAGAACTTGTGAATAAGGCTGTGAAGTCATATCTAAAAAAATTGGTCAAACTGATGATGTCTTATTGCCACCCATTGAAATTCCATATGTGCTGTATTCTACCTCTTCAGTTTTAAAAACTTGCAGTTGCTACCAATATGTATAAAATCTCTACACCCTTCGAAAATTGAACATATTCATTCATATTTTTTTGAGTAGAAATTTAGCCAGGCATTAAAAGTAATATAAAACTAACACAAGATACAGTTGTTTACCACAGGAATTTGGATTTGCTGAATAATGTATGAACACACTGGCATAATTCCCGACGGTGCAAAGCAGCATAGGAGCCAATGGCTAGTAGGGGCAAGTGCTCATGTAAAGAACAATTAATTTGAGATCAGGAAGGCTTTGTGAAATTCTGGGAGTGGAGAACCCAGATGGCTACCTAGTTAGTGGGTGGAAACGTAGAGACCAAGGAGAGGTGAGAATTATAGTTAGAAAAGTGAGTGTGACTTATTCAGGGACCAGTAACGTTTCTGACCTAGCTAAAGCAAAGGATCTACAATGGGAAAGAGTGAAGACAAAATTGATTACTAGAGCAGGTTGCATTGTGGAGGATCTAAAAAAGGACATTTTTTTCTGAAAAAAAAAAAAATTCAAAGATCTATTGATGGCTTCTTAGCAGGTGAGTGAAATGGTAAAATCTGTGAGTTAAGAAGAAATAAATTCAGAGCGATGTTTATTAATGTATGTTCCCAGGATCATTAATTAATGGGGTTACTCCAAAAGGGCCAAGCAATGTCAAATAAGTGTGGAAAAAACTGGAGCATTTGACTTCAAAAGGAAAATACAGAATTTCCCTAACCTATTTGACCAGGGAACCCTTTCTAGGAAAACTGTGCTTGGATCATATATTCTATATATATTGATACCAACCTCAATCTATACATTGACATATGTAATAAATGTCCAATTCTGTGTTTTTAAATAGCTCGCTTGGTGTCTAGTTTGATTCTCTGTTCCCAGATTGGTAGAAATTCAGGATCTCTTAATTTCCCCCAGGAGTGTGTCTATGTTCTGGAGTCTTCTAGTGCCAGGGAGTTAGAAGGCTATGAAATGGCGAGGTGGCACTTATTTGCTGCTTTGGGTCATTGATGTATACTAGCATCTGCTGAGATGTCCTCACTGTTCTCTGGTCCTGGGGAATTGGTCAGTACTACTGTTGTTGAGACATGTCTTTCAAACCTGGTGGCTCTCTGTAGTTCTTCCATACTATTCTGGAATTGATGGGAATACTTTTCTTACTGATCTGTTCCATGCTGAGGTATAAGAAACTCTATGTGGACCCACAGGGGCCCCGTCTTTCTTAGACAAGTCAGTTCGCTATTCTGTGAGGCCTTCCTGCTTTCTTTTGGCTTCTATCCAGGAAAAGGGGCAGATGTCCCATGTACCTAATGATTTTGGGGTTTTCCCATGAGATTTCCACCTAAATCTACTCTATCCCACGAGTGAGTTTTGTTTCCTAGAAAGCTAAATTTTTAAAACTCATAAGCAACAAAGGGCTCCCTTTTCCTCATGTTCTCCTATAGCTTCTATTCCCTGAGGAAGTGATTTAGTTGTCCGTAAGACAGCTTAAGACCGGAACAAGGATAGAGGCAAAGAATACCTGAGGTAAAAAATCAGTTATTATTTCAAAGATACTTCCTACCACACTTTGAATGCCTTTTAGGAAATGCTGATTATAATCCACTGAGGATTAAAAGCCGATGAATAAAAGGATATGTGTAGGGGCGCCTGGGTGGCTCAGTTGGTTAAGCAACTGCCTTCGGCTCAGGCCATGATCCTGGAGTCCCGGGATCAAGTCCGGCATCGGACTCCCTGCTCAGCGGGGAGTCTGCTTCTCCCTCTGATCCTCCTCCTCTCATGCTCTCTGTCTCCCATTCTCTCTCTCAGATAAATAAATAAAAAATCTTTAAAAAAAAAAAAAAAGGATATGTGTAGTAGTGGTGCTGCCTTGAGTTTTGATTATCATGTGTGGTCTTAATAAATAATGAATGCCTCCTTGTCTTGTAAATCACTGTCTTTGGCATGGTGCTTTGCACAGTCCTCTCCCACATTAACTCTTGAAAAGCCTTTCTTGCTTCTGGCAACTCTTCCTCCACCACATGCAGAAGGACAGGCTAGCTCGTTGAAGACATGGGGACCAGCTGAGAGCCAACACCAATAAACAGACTCCTAGGTTAGCTCCAGATGAGCTGCCAGCTGACTGCAGGTGCTCAAGTGACCTCAGCTGAGACCAGAACTGCTCAGATGAGCCTCCACTGAAGTGTTGATATGAATCATAAACAAGTAAAATGGTTGTCTAACCCACTGAGTGATGGAATTATTTTTATTGCATCAGTATAAAAATATGCAATACACTTCAATGCAACAAAGTACATAATATGAGATGGTAGGTATCGAAGACAGAGGAGATACTTTGTGGGAAGATTTCCTCAATATGGATAATATGAGATGAGGCAAGAAAAATTCAAATGGGATGAGCAAGTTCCTTGGAAGGGGCTCATTTTTCATTCATTGGAAAAACAGTTCATTTTATTTTCTATTTTATAGGAACTAAAGAAAACGGAAGAGTCAAGTGTCATTATGGGGATGGTAGCCTTCAGTGACTTAGAAAACTGTAGACAGGTAGCTGGGTGGAACCATGCCAGATGGGGTCTTCGTATCATTCTGCAGTTGTGCCTTTTTGTAAATCACTCTCACTCTCACTGGCTTGGATTCAAGAGGTGGATTTCCTGACACTACTGAAATGAAAAATAAACAGTTGTCTTATATAAGCATATTCTCAGACACTACACTAGATTTATCTTAATTCCTGATGACATGTATTATCCTAAAGATTTCCTCAAAGCAATGAGAAAAACGTCATAAAACCAAGAAATGTCAAAAATATAGAGGGATTGATGAGATGTGTCTCCAAGTTCTGAATCGAAAGTCTATTATAAGGTGGACTGCTACGAGTTAGCTGTGATTAGCTAGGCTCAAATATACTAGCTCTAGTCTCAGGGGCACTTCTCCTAGTCTTATTAATGGCTTTTTTTTGAAATTTATTTTTTTCCATCACCTTATTTAATCTTTACAACAATTCTAAGATTTAGACAATATTTTTAACCAACAATTTTAGAGAGAAAGAACTGATGCCAGTTCTTTTCAACCCAGTTCAAAGGGCACTGGAATCCTGTGGTGCCTCAAGAGACCCTGAGCCAAAAGAGGAGGGAGGGGAAGAAAGGCCACTTGCTCTGGCTTCAACCAGAGCACATCTAATATACATAAGTATATATATTGTGTTTAATAATTAGATATTCTAAATTTCTAATTATATATTATATATAACTAAACATATATGTATGATATGACATATATATATGGCACCAATTCAAATTTTGATAGAGAAATTCCCAAACACTGTAGCATACCATGATGAGTCCTAATGCCCTTATGATCTACACTAGAAACTTCTTGAAGTCAGACACCTCATCTTATCCTTTCTTTGGTCTCACAACAGTGTGGAACCTCCCTTGACCTGTGAGCCAGCCTTCGGGAGAAGGAGCACATGGAAATCCTTGCCGTGGCGATGTTCTGGGCTCCAGAACAGCTCTGTCTAAGCATCTCCCATGACCCCTGGCAACCTTGCTGTCTGCTTCTCACTAAAGCCAATTAAATTACTCCCGGTACCTGCAGCCTTCTCGCTGTTACCACGACTCATTGAGTTCTCGCCCAAGAGGGAAGTGATGTCTTCTCCAAATATCCTGAGGCAATTTTCAATGAGAAATTGTACAAGACAAATCTATAACACAAAAAGACAAAAATGGGGTGCTCTTTTCCATAGGGCATAGTTATAAATCACATTTTGTATATACACCTTGGATCTAAGAAAAAATGTGAAGGACTTCCCAGTAAAATTCAGACTTGATAAAAATACGTAGAAACCAGGGGCACCTGGGTGGCTCCGTCGGTAAAGCATCTGCCTTTGGCTCAGGTCATGATACCAGGGTGCTGGGATCAGCCTTACATCAGGCTCCCTGCTCAGCGGGAAGCCTGCTTCTCCCTCTCCCACTCCCCCTGCTTGTGTTCCCTCTCTCGCTGTGTCTCTCTCTGTCAAGTACATAAATAAAAGCTTAAGAAAAAACCAAAAAAACAAAAACACATAGAAACCAGAGTTCTCTCAGAAATAACTTAAAAAGAGTGATACTTTCCCGTGTACTTTGGGTACACATTTTAAAATACTGCTCATCCGTGGGCTAAAGTTATAATGCGTGGCCTAGTTTAATAGCTAACATTTTGGGATCAGTGGTAACGTCTTTAAGCCTAGGATAAATTTCGGGGCCCCTCAGATGAGCGTCTGACTCTTGATTTCGGCTCAGATCACAATCTCATGGTGGTGAGATCCAGCCCCACATGGAGCCAAATTTGAGCTTTGTGCTCAGCAGGGAATCGGCTTGGGCTTCTCCCTCTCCCTCTCCCTCTTCTTCTGCCCCTGCACCGCTCACGCTCTCTCTTTCTCTCTCTCAAATAAATACGTATCAAAAAATAAATAAAACTAGGATAATTTTCAAAGTAGCCTACCTTATTAAAGTTTATTTATTTTCTGCTTTTAAATTTTGTTTCCAGTTTTATTGAGCTGTAACTGATGTATACCATCTTATGAAACTTTATAAAGTATGAACAAAAACTTAAAACCATTTCTTAAATGAAGAAGTATCTTAAAGTTGGGAAGCAGAGATTTTGGTGGGGTTGTGAAGGAAAACCCAGACAGCTGGAGAGAAAACGTATCTGTCTGTCTAACTTCAGTCCCTTCTCACGCATTGCTTTGCCTCATACTGGCTCTCTCTGTGTGAGCTTGGGGAAGACCTGTCATCTTATCAGGATATTCTGGAATCTCTTGCTAGTTTCCATACGACGTAGCAGAGGTGAAATAGTAGCCGAGTACTTTTCTAGATGAGCCACAATTGGCAGAGGAAGGCCAATGTGTTTGGAGGCATGGGTGCTCATATTGCCCAAGCCACCCAGGATGTGCCAGTGATGACCAGAGGAGCTGGCTGTTGTCGCCATTGTGTAGTGAGGAAACCATGGCTTTGCCCAAGGTTAAGAGTCCCTCAGGGATTAGGCTGAGAGTTGAACCTTGACTAGTGAAGCTCCAAAGCCCAGGTTCTTTTCTATCGTATCACATGACTCTTCTCTCTCTCGGTTAGTCAGCCTAGTGTTTAGTCTCCTGGAGGGGGAAGAAGTGACTCGACTGCTCCGTGATTCCGGTTTAACAACAACCCTTCGCAGACCCCACCAGAGTAGGATAAAGAACTCTGCCACTCCACAGGGGCCTAATGAAAATGTGCACTTCACAAAGTTCCATCCGTCAGAGTTACTACTGCACATGTCCGGTTCAAAGTAGGGATTCTACCCCCTGGGGGACAAAAATGAGAGCTCTCATTACCTTTTTTATCAAGTTGTCTTCCAATTCCATGCTGTCGGAATAAGGTGGGCAAAGAACGCTTGGGGCTATACAAACGGATAAATTATAAGCTGTCATCTGATTGGATGAGGAATGTTGCTCGATGTTGTATAGCACTCCAAAAAGGTATCGCAAGAGAACAACATTTGCTCTTGGCAGCTGGGCTAAAAGCCTAAGGTCAGAAAATCACACGTTTAAATTAGGCAAGTGATTCCACTTAGGAGGTTGGAAAAACAGAGACAGGGAACAGGATACATCCTTGTATATCTAGCACACAACCCGCTGTAGCAGAGTTCCAGGCATGAATGTAGACAAAACTGGTGCACTGAATTCAGTTCCTGAGCCAGATAAACACTTCTCTGGTTAGTTAAATGTCTGACAGACTTTTAAGGTCATAGCCCTGGTAGTCCTCTAGCATCTGTCTTGGACCAGTGGATTTCGTCTACCAGTTTCATGGATCCAGAAGGTGTAAAATGGCCAAGGAGTCCACATTAATAAGATCAGGAGAAGAACAATCATAGCCCTAAAGCGTGCCTCTATTCTGAAGCTGGAACCCATGGGTGTGAAGAATTGAAATTCTTTGGCGTTGGTCATGATTTTAGTGGGCAAAGCTGCAAAACGTAAGCCAATGTTTTCCTGATAGTATGTTGGCTGTATTTTGGAGATGTGACAAGAGTAGAGTAATTATTGCATCATTACCTCTGGGCTGCAGTTATCTTCTCTTCTTTGTTGCCTTGATCAATAACACCGAGCCATTTGTCATAGAGATCAGATAAAAATATACTTCCTTGGATATTTCTTAGGAAATCCTTATGGAGATAAAAAAAAATATGTATATATATTATACAAAATATTTATTGGAAATATTCCAGAGAAAATATGTAGTTAAAAAATTCAGTTCAGCCCCCACTTCCTTCACAGATACCCAAACTGCGACCCACACGGAGCTCGGCTCTGACTCTCCATTCACTTGCACACGCAGGAGCAGGTGCTTGGATTTTCTCCCACTAAAACTTAGAGGCATAAAAGCAGAGCTTACGCTGTTGTGGAAATGAAGATAAAGCTCCCTTCTATCATCTGGAACTTATTTTTTGTGAGTGCTTTTTTTGCAAAGTACCACAAACTGACAGGGTCTGGCTATAGACCATCCTAAATCCTATTAGCTTCTTGGCCAGAAATACACATACCAATGTTGCTTGTTTTAGACACAGTGCTAGCTCTTAACTCTAGCAAGAAAAGGCCTGAAACAATCAAAACACAAACAGGTGGGCTCTTGCACACATATTAGAAAAGAACTAGGTCTTCTCACTCAGGGTATGTGTGCTCCCTGGAAGAAAGCTACTCTCACAATTGCTTCATTCTTCCTTTTCTTAACTGTCTAAAAGTTGAGAGTCTAATGGCAGACTCACTGTGGTCCTGAGGATAGATTCATTTCTAGTTTAGGCCAATTGTCCAGTTAGTTTGCCATGATATTATCAAGGCCAAGGTTGCAGAGTCTGATTCTCCACCAAGATCCGTCAACTTCAGGAAGACAAAACTTTAGAAACGTCTAAGCACCATACCCACAAGTGCTCACCCTCTTCCTAGTCGGTGCTGATAACACAGAATGAGGAAGGAACCTCCTAACTCTTGCTAGAAAATCAATTCTATGTGTGCACCTTACAGAGGGCAATGCTCATCTCGCTACCTAGTGTATCATCATTTTTCTCCTGTCTCCTAATGCCTACATGTATATTACTAGTGGATATCACTATCGCCCCAGTGTAGGAGTGGTTACCTAAGTGATTTCTGGACTTTGCTATTTATCACATCTTCGAACATTAACGGGGGACAAGGGAAGATCAAATGTGACTGAGATTCTAAGACTGTAGTCATTACTACATTAACATAGGGTTGTTCAGAGCTGTTAATTAGTGCCAAGGTGGATGGATTAAATTTTTTCCCTGCTCTATTTCTTTTGGAAAGTTTGCCTTCATTAGGAGGGTGGTGAGGATGTCTGCTTCGTTAAACAGTGTGTTTGTGTCAGTGTGTATTTTTAAATTTATTATCATGCCTAGTAGTCATTTCAGTATTAGTATTTTGCATGGAGTCTTCAGGAGTCAAGGTGGGGAGGGCGGTGTGGAGTGAAAACAGAAAGTATTTCTAACATATGGGGCTTTTAACTCCTAAAGTAGCTTCCTTAAATTTTGATTTTGTCAATCGTTTTTCAGCTTGTTTGGTTCTTAATCTATTATGCCCATTACGATTCTTAAGCAGTCATGATGAAGGACACCATTCATAGCTTCAGTTACTCATATGTGGATAATGCTAGAACCTTCCCTACCTTGAAGACGGATGCGACCACATGAAAAGATTCGATGTACGGGTTCAATTTGACCCCAGAATTTAGTTTTTCCTTTAGGACTCTGCATGATTTTATATTGGCTGATTTGCTGAAGACGCCTTCTGTGAGTGGCCCTTTTTGATTAATAAAGGAAAGCATATCCTGTAGGAAGAAAAGAAAAGTATATGGCATCTCATATCCACAAACGCAGAGCACAAGCTTGCCTCCATTTTGAAAGAGCACGGGAATGTAATGGTACACTGTTTTAGAGTGGGAAGGACTAAAGTCAATTTAGATTGTTTTTTTTTTTTCAGTGTTTTTCTATATACTTTCAACCGAAATATCCATTTTACATTCATACACTGAAACATTTTAAACACTTCTTTTAATCAGATTTTCCTTTCCATTGAGTTTCCACTTTTAAATTAAACTTCTCCACTTCAAGGCCTTTGGGGAATCAGCATCTGTTTCCTACTTTAGCATTTTTTTCTCATTATTCCCTACATAGATGCTCTTCCCCAAGTATGGAAGTCTATTTAGGAAATACTCATTTCCCATTTTTTTATTTCTCTTTAAGTGACTGTATACTCCTTTCCTACTTGTTCTATTTCCTTCCCTCTTTTAAAGTCAGGCTCAGAAACTCTCTTCTCCTTCTCTGATTACCCTCACTTCTCATGAGTCTTTCATTGTCTTTTGCTGTATCTTCATGACTTCTCCCTGCTGTGTAGAATCTTAATAAGGGCTGGACTCAGGGAATCCAAACGATCTGAAGTCTATTATGCTACTTATCTATTGTGTGAGCTGGGGCACATACATCCTGTACTGAGGCTTTTCTGATTCGGTTTGGCAGTGCAGAGGATGATAATCCTAGCTAGCCCCTAAATTTGCTGTGATGCAAGGACCTGGTGTAGTAGCTAGCAGGTAACATGCTAGCTAAGATGATACATTTCTTCATGTCTAGCAGAACGTTCCCTACATACCGTACAGTGCTTGCAGAGACACCGAATACTCAGTGAATGTCCACACTGACAATTCACTACAGCAGTTCCAGATAACACAGGCCAAACTCTGTGGCTTTCATTTGACATACTCTGTTAGGATTAACAGAATCCTATTTGCCAGAGGATGAGTCTATGCTCGTGTCAGATGTTTGCAGTTGTTAGACAGAGTAGACTCCGCTGAAGGAGACTTGAGACTCATGTGAGTGCAGGAAGGCAATGAAGGGAGAGTGTGAAGATGAGGTGGACTCTCAGAGACTCACAGACACAGAGTCCATTTTGACTGATCTGAACAGGCCTCGGTGGGTCTTTGTGGAAACAAGACACAAGTGGAATGGACAAGAATGTCTTTTCCTTTTGTATTTGCCTCATGAGTCTGCTGGAACTAAGATTCTGTTCGTTGAAATAACAGTAACAGAGCTTCTCTGCCAAAGCCAGGGACTATGTAATGACTTCTCCATTTGGGGATAGATTTGGATGAGGACGCTTGGCCTTTCAGAGTTTCCCCTCCTCAGGAGGGCTATAGAAGACCAAAAGGAGATGACCTACCAGAATTGGAAAGGGCAAGTTGTCTTTATCACACACATCCATGAGGGAAACTCCAAATAGCTGTCCTGGCTTTGCGGAAGGTGGGGCTGTGCACTGGTTGTGCTGGCAAGTTCTGGAGCCCCACCAAAAGGCCCTGTCACTGAAAGAATGGCTTGTCACAGTCTTCCGGCCGGAGTCTAAGGAAGAAGAGAGAGTACTAGTAGTAGTAGTTGTTGTTTAATACGCTGAACCTTCTTTTTCCTTTTTTTTTTTTTTTTTTTACAGATTTTATTTATATTTTGACAGAGGGAGAGAGACAGCAAGAGAGGGAACACAAGAAGGGGGAGGGGGACAGGGAGAACTAGGCTTGTTAGAAAAAATTCCCAAACACTGTAGCATACCATGATGAGTCCTAATGCCCTTACGATCTACACTAGAAACTTCTTGAAGTCAGAGACCTCATCTTATCCTTTCTTTGGTCTCACAACAGTGTGGAACCTCCCTTGACCTGTGAGCCAGCCTTCGGGAGAAGGAGCACATGGAAATCCTTGCCGTGGCGATGCTCTGGGCTCCAGAACAGCTCTGTCTAAACATCTCCCATGACCCCTGGCAACCTTGCTGTCTGCTTCTCACTAAAGCCAATTAAATTACTCCCGGTACCTGCAGCCTTCTCGCTGTTACCACGACTCATTGAGTTCTCGCCCAAGAGGGAAGTGATGTCTTCTCCAAATATCCTGAGGCAATTTTCAATGAGAAATTGTACAAGACAAATCTGTAACACAAAAAGACAGGAATGGGGTGCTCTTTTCCATAGGGCATAGTTATAAATCACATTTTGGATACAGACCTTGGATCTAAGAAAAAATGTGAAGGACTTCTCAGAAAAATTTAGAGTTGATAAAAATATGTAGAAACCAGGGGCGCCTGGGACGGTCAGTCGTTTAAGCGTCTGCGTTCGGCTCAGGTCATAATCCCAGGGTGCTGGGATCAGCCCTACATCGGGCTCCCTGCTCAGCGGGAAGCCTGCTTCTCCTTCTCTCACTCCGCCTGCTTGTGTTCCCTCTCTCGCTGTGTCCCTCTCAGTCAAGTAAATAAATAAAAGTTTAAAAAAAAAAAACCAAAAAACCCCTAAAAACACATAGAAACCAGAGTTCTCTCAGAAATAACTTAGAAAGAGTGATACTTTCCCGTGTACTTTGGGTACACATTTTAAAATACTGCTCATCCGTGGGCTAAAGTTATGATGCGTGGCCTAGTTTAAGAGCTAACATTTTGGGATCAGTGGTTACGTCTTTAAGCCTAGGTTAAATTTCGGGGCCCCTCAGTTGGGCGTCAGACTCTTGATTTCGGCGCAGATCAGATCTCATGGTGGTGAGATCCAGCCCCACATGGAGCCAACTTTGGGCTCCGTGCTCAGCGGGGAATGGGCTTGGGCTTCTCCCTCTCCCTCTCCCTCTTCTTCTGCCCCTGCCCCGCTCACGCTCTCTCTTTCCCTCTCTCAAATAAATACGTATCAAAAAATAAATAAAACTAGGATAATTTTCAAAGTAGCCTACCTTATTAAAGTTTACTTATTTTTTGCTTCTAAATTTTGTTTCCAGTTTTATTGAGCTGTAACTGATGTATACCATCTTATGAAACTTAATAAAGTATGAACAAAAACTTAAGAAAACCATTTCTTAAATGAATAAGTATCTTAAAGTTGGGAAGCAGAGAATTTGGTGGGGTTGTGAGGGAAAACCCACACAGTTGGAGAGAAAATGTATCTGTCTGTCTAACTTCAGTCCCTTCTCACGCCTTGCGCTGCCTCATGCTGGCTCTCTCTGGGTGACCTTGGGGAAGACCTGTCATCTTATTAGGATATTCTGGAATCTCTTGCTGGTTTCTGTTGACATAGCAGAGGTGAAATAGTAGGCGAGTACTTTTCTAGATGAGCCACAATTGGCAGAGGAAGGCCAGTGTGTTTGCAGCCATGGGGGCTCATATTGCCCAAGCCACCCAGGATGTGCCAGTGATGACCGGAGGAGCTGGCTGTTGTCGCCATTGTGTAGTGAGGAAACCATGGCTTTGCCCAAGGTTACGAGTCCCTCAGGGATTAGGCTGAGAGTTGAACCTTGACTAGTGAAGCTCCAAAGCCCAGGTTCTTTTCTATCGTATCACATGACTCTTCTCTCTCTCGTTTAGTCAGTCTAGTGTTTAGTCTCCTGGAGGGGGAAGAAGTGACTCGACTGCTCCGAGTTTCCCATTTAATGACACCCCTTCCCAGACCCTGCCAGAGTAGCATAAAGAACTCTACCACTCCACAGGGGCCTAATTAAAATGTGCACTTCACAAAGTTCCATCCGTCAGAGTTACTACTGCACATGTCCGGTTCAAAGTAGGGATTCTACGCCCTGGGGGACAAAAATGAGAGCTCTCATTACCTTTTTTATCAAGTTGTCTTCCAATTCCATGCTGTCGGAATCAGGTGGGTAAAGAACGCTTGGGGCTATACAAATGGATAAATTATAAGCTGTCATCTGATTGGATGAGGAATGTTGCTCAATGTTGTATAGCACTCCAAAAAGGTATCGCAAGAGAACAACATTTGCTCTTGGCAGCTGGGGTAAAAGCCTAAGGTCAGAAAAACACACTTTTAAATTAGGCAAGTGATTCTACTTAGGAGGTTGGAAAAACAGAGACAGGGAAAAGGATACATCCTTGTATATCTAGCACACAACCCGCTGTAGCAGAGTTCCAGGCATGAATGTAGACAAAATTGGTGCACTGAATTCAGTTCCTGAGCCAGATAAACACTTCTCTGGTTAGTTAAATGTTTGACAGACTTTTAAGGTCATAGCCCTGGCAGTTGATGCTGTTGCATGTGTCTTGAACCAGGGAATTTCGTCTACAAGTTGCATGGATCCAGAAGGGGTCAAACGGCCAAGGAGTCCACATTAATAAGATCAGGAGAAGAACAATAATAGCCCTAAAGCATGCCTCTATTCTGAAGCTGGGCCCCATGGGCATAAAGAATTGAAACTCTTTGGCGTTGGTCATGATTATAGTGCGCAAAGCTGCAAAACGTAAGCCAATGTTTTCCTGATAGTATGTTGGGTGTATTTTGGAGATGTGACCAGAGTAGAGTAATTAGTGCATCATTACCTCTGGGCTGCAGTTATCTTTTCCTCTTTGTTGCCTTGATCAATAACACCGAGCCATTTGTCATAGAGATCAGATAAAAATATGCTTCCTTTGATATTTCTAAGAAAATCCTTAGGGACATAAAAAAATATATATATAATAGAAAATATGTATTGGAAATATTCCAGAGAAAATATGTAGTTAAAAAATTCAGTTCAGCCCCCACTTCCTTCACAGATACCAAAACTACGACCCACATGGAGCTCGGCTCTGACTCTCCATTCACTTGCACACGCAGGAGCAGGTGCTTGTATTTTCTCCCGCTAAAACTTAGAGGCATAAAAGCAGAGCTTAGGCTGTGGTGGAAATGAAGATAAAGCTCCCTACTATCATCTGGAACTTATTTTTTGTCAGTGCTTTTTTTGCAAAGTACCACAAACTGACAGCGTCTGGCTATAGACCATCCTAAATCCTATTAGCTTCTTGGACAGAAATACACATACCCATGTTGCTTGTTTTAGACACAGTGCTAGCTCTTCATTCTAGCAAGAAAAGGCCTGAAACAATCAAAACACAAACAGGTGGGCTCTTCCACACATATTAGGAAAGAACTAAGTCTTCTCACTCGGGGTATGTGTGCTCCCTGGAATAAAGCTACTCTCACAATTGCTTCATTCTTTCTTTTCTTAACTGTCTAAAAGTCGAGAGTCTAATGGCAGACTCACTGTGGTCCTGAGGATAGATCCATTTCTAGTTTAGGCCAATTGTCCAGTTAGTTTGCCATGATATTATCAAGGCCAAGTTTGCAGAGTCTGATTCTCCACCAAGATCCGTCAACTTCAGGAAGAGAAAACTTTAGAAATGTCTAAGCACTCTCCCCACAAGTGCTCACCCTCTTCCTAGTCGGTGCTTATAACACGGAATCAGGAAAGAACCTCCTAACTCTTGCTAGAAAATCGATTCCATGTTTGCACCTTACAGAGGGCAACACTCATCTCGCTACCTAGTGTATCATCATTCTTCTCCTGTCTCCTGATGCCTGTATGTATATTACTACTGGATATCACTATGGCCCCAGTGTAGGAGTGGTTACCTAAGTCATTTCTGGACTTTGCTATTTATCACATCTTCGAACATTAACGGGGGACAAGGGAAGACCAAATGTGACTGAGATTCTAAGACTGTAGTCATTACTACGTTAACATAGGGTTGTTCAGAGCTGTTCATAAGTGCCAAGGTGGATGGATTAAATTCTTTCCCTGTTCTATTTCTTTTGGAAAGTTTGCCTTCATTAGGAGGGTGGTGAGGATGTTTGTATGCGTAAACAGTGTGTATGTATTGGTGCGAATTTTGAAATTTATTATCATGACTAGGAGTCATTTCAGTATTAGTATTTTGCATGGAGTCTTCAGGAGTCAAGGTGGGGAGGGCGGTGTGTAGTGCAAACAGAAAGTATTTCTAACACATGGGGCTTTTAACGTCTAAAGTAGCTTCCTTAAATTTTGATTTTGTCAAGCGTTTTTCAGCTTGTAAGGGTCTTAATCCATTATGCCCGTTATGGTTCTTGAGTAGTCATGATGAAGGACACCAATCATAGTTTCAGTTACTCGTGTGTGGATAATGCTAGAACCTTCCCTACCTTAAAGAGGGATGCGACCACATGAACAGATTCGCTGTACGGGTTCAGTTTGACTCCAGAATTCAGTTTCTCCTTTAGGACATAGCAGGATTTTATATTGGCTGATTTGCTGAAGACGCCTTCTGTGAGTGGCCCTTTTTGATTAATAAAGGAAAGCATATCCTGTAGGAAGAAAAGAAAAGTATATGGCATCTCATATCCACAAACGCCGAGCACAAGCTTGCCACCATTTTGAAAGAGGAGGGGAATGTAATGGTACACTGTTTTGGAGTGGGAAGGACTAAAGTCAATTTAGATTGTTTTTTTTTTTTTCAGTGTCTTTCTATATAGTTTAGACCTAAATATCCATTTTACAGTCATACACTGAAACATTTTAAACACTTCTTTTAATCAGATTTTCCTTTCCATTGAGTTTCCACTTTTAAATCAAACTTCTGCGCTTCAAGGCCTTTGGGGAATCAGCATCTGTTTCGTACTTTAGCATTTTTTCTCATTATTCCCTACATAGATGCTCTTCCCCAAGTATGGAAGTCTATTTAGGAAATACTCATTTCCCATTTGTTTATTTCTCTTTAAGTGACTGTATACTCCATTCCTACTTGTTCTATTTCCTTCCCTCTTTTAAAGTCAGGCTCAGAAACTCTCTTCTCCTTCTCTGATTACCCTCCCTTCTCATGAGTCTTAAATTGTCTTTTGCTCTATCTTCATGTCCTCTCTCTGCTGTGTAGAATCTTTATAAGGGCTGGACTCAGGGAATCCAACGGATCTGAAGTCTATTATGCTACTTATCTATTGTGTGAGCTGGGTCACTTACATCCTGTACTGAGGCTTTTCTGATTCGGTTAGGCAGTGTGGAGGATGATAATCCTAGCTAGCCCCTAAATTTGCTGTGATGCACGGACCTGGGGTTGTAACTAGCAGGTAACATGCTAGCTAAGATGGTACATTTCTTCATAGCTAGCAGAACGTTCCCTACATCTCGTACAGTGCTTGCACAGACACCGAATACTCAGTGAATGTCCACACTGACAATTCACTACAGCAGTTTCAGATAACACAGGCCAAACTCTGTGGCTTTCATTTGACATACTCTGTTAGGATTAACAGATTCCTATTTGCCAGAGGATGAGTCTATGCTCGTGTCAGATGTTTGCAGTTGTTAGACTGAGTAGACTCCGCTGAAGGAGACTTGAGACTCATGTGAGTTCAGCAAGGCAATGAAGGGAGAGTGTGCAGATGAGGTGAACTCTCAGAGACTCACATACACAGAGTCCACTTTGTCTGATCTGAACAGGCCTCGGTGGGTCTTTGTGGAAACAAGATACAAGTGGAATGGAGAAGAATGACTTTTCCTGTTGTATGTGCCTCATGACTCTGCTGGACCTAAGTCAGATTCTGTACCTTGAAATAACAGTAACAGAGCTTCTCAGCCAAAGCCAGGGGCTGTCTAATGACTTCTCCATTTGGGGATAGATTTGGATGAGGACACGTGGCTTCTCAGAGTTTCCCCTCCTCAGGAGGGCTATAGAAGACCAAAATGAGATGACCTACCAGAATTGGGAAGGGTAGCTTGTCTTTATAACACATATCCATGAGGGAAACTCCAAAGAGCTGCCCTGGCTTTGCGGAAGGTGGGGCTATGCACTGGTAGTGCTGGCAAGTGCTGCAACCCCGACAAAAGGCCCTGGCTCTGAAAGAACGGTGTGTCACAGTCTTCTGGCCGTAATCTAAGGAAGAAGTGAGATTAGTAGTAGTAGTTGTAGTTTAATACGCTGAACCTTCTTTTTTCTTTTCTTTTTTTTCCCAGATTTTATGTATATTTTGACAGAGAGAGAGAGAGACAGCGAGAGAGGGAACACAAGTAGGGGGAAGGGGAGAGAGAGAAGCAGGCTTCCGCGGAGCAGGGAGCCTGATGCGGGGTTTGATCCAAGGACCCCAGGATCATGACCTGAGCTGAAACCGGATGCTTAACGACTGAGCCACTCATGTGCCCCAGGCTCATCTTAGTTCCTGATGACTTGTATTTTCTAAAGATTTCCTCAAAGCAATGTGGTAAGCATCATAAAACCAAGAAATGTCAGAAATATGGAGGGATTGATGATACGTGTCTCCAGGTTCTGAATCGAAAGTCTACCTTCTAAGGTGGACTGCTGACAGGTAGCTGTGATTAGCTAGGCTCAAATCATACTAGCTCTAGTCTCAGGGGCACTTCTCCCAGTCATATTAATGGCTTTTTTTTGGATTCCATCCATCATCTTATTTAGTTTTTACCACAATTCTAAGATTTAGACATTATTTATATCCACATTTTAGAGATGAATAAACTGATGCTGAGCTGGAATAACTGGCCAAGAGAATATAGCTGGTAAATGGGGGCACAGGAATTTACACTCTGGAGAGGTAGTATGACATCAAGTCAAGTCCTTTTTTCTCAATGATGCCAGTTCTTTTCAACCCGTTTCAAAGGGCACTGGAATCCTGTGGTGCCTCAAGAGCCCCTGAGCCAAAGACGAGGGAGGGGAAGAAAGGCCCCTTGCTTTGGCTTCAACCAAAGCACATCTTATATACATAAATATATATATTATGATTATATATTTATATAGTATAAGTATCTAATTATATATTATATATATATAACTACATATATATTTATGAGGTATATATATATATATATAGCACCCACTTAGAATTTTGTTAGAAGTTTGTTAGAAAAAATTCCCAAACACTGTAGCATACCATGATGAGTCCTAATGCCCTTATGATCTACACTAGAAACTTCTTGAAGTCAGAGACCTCATCTTATCCTTTGGTCTCACAACAGTGTGGAACCTCCCTTGACCTGTGAGCCAGCCTTCGGAAGAAGGAGCACATGGAAATCCTTGCCCTGGCGTTGCTCTGGGCTCCAGAACAGCTCTGTCTAAGCATCTCCCATGACCCCTGGCAACCTTGCTGTCTGCTTCTCACTAAAGTCAATTAAATTACTCCCGGTACCTGCAGCCTTCTCGCTGTTACCACGACTCATTGAGTTCTCTCCCAAGAGGGAAGTGATGTCTTCTCCAAATATTCTGAGGCAATTTTCAATAAGAAATTGTACAAGACAAATCTGTAACACAAAAAGACAGGAATGGGGTGCTCTTTTCCATAGTGCATAGTTATAAATCACATTTTGGATACAGACCTTGGATCTAAGAAAAAATGTGAAGGATTTCTCAGAAAAATTCAGAGTTGATAATACTATGTAGAAACCAGGGGCGCCTGGGTGGCTCAGTCGGTTAAGCGTCTGCGTTTGGCTCAGGTCATAATCCCAGGGTGCTAGGATCAGCCATACATCGGGCTCCCTGCTCAGCGGGAAGCCTGCTTCTCCTTCTCCCACTCCCCCTGCTTATGTTCCCTCTCTCGCTGTGTCTCTCACAGTCAAGTTAATAAATAAAAGTTAAAAAAAGAAAACAAAAAAACCCCCAAAACACATAGAAACCAGAGTTCTCTCAGAAATAACTTAGAAAGAGTGATACTTTCCCGTGTACTTTGGGTACACATTTTAAAATACTGCTCATCCGTGGGCTAAGTTATAATGCATGGCCTAGTTTAAGAGCTAACATTTTGGGATCAGTGGTTACGTCTTTAAGCCTAGGATAAATTTCGGGGCACCTCAGTTGGGCGTCTGACTCTTGATTTCAGCGCAGATCACAATCTCATGGTGGTGAGATCCAGCCCCACATGGAGCCAACTTTGGCTCCGTGCTCAGCGGGGAATGGGCTTGGGCTTCTCCCTCTCCCTCTCCCTCTTCTTCTGCCCCTGCCCCGCTCACGCTCTCTCTTTCCCTCTCTCAAATAAATACGTATCAAAAAATAAATAAAACAAGGATAATTTTCAAAGTAGCCTACCTTATTAAAGTTTACTTATTTTTTGCTTTTAAATTTTGTTTCCAGTTTTATTGAGCTGTAACTGATGTATACCATCTTATGAAACTTTATAAAGTATGAACAAAAACTTAAGAAAACCATTTCTTAAATGAAGAAGTATCTTAAAGTTGGGAAGCAGAGATTTTGGTGGGGTTGTGAAGGAAAACCCACACAGGTGGAGAGAAAACATATCTGTCTGTCTAACTCCAGTCCCTTCTCATGCCTTGCTTTGCCTCATGCTGGCTCTCTCTGTGTGAGTTTGGGGAAGACCTGTCATCTTATTGGGATATTCTGGAATCTCTTGCTAGTTTCCATAAGACGTAGCAGAGGTGAAATAGTAGCCGAGTACTTTTCTAGATGAGCCATAATTGGCAGAGGAAGGCCAATGTGTTTGCAGCCATGGGTGCTCATATTGCCCAAGCCACCCAGGATGTGCCAGTGATGACCAGAGGAGCTGGCTGTTGTCGCCATGGTTTAGTGAGGAAACCATGGCTTTGCCCAAGGTTATGAGTCCCTCAGGGATTAGACTGAGAGTTGAACCTTGACTAGTGAAGCTCCAAAGCCCAGGTTCTTTTCTATCGTATCACACGACTCTTCTCTCTCCCGTTTAGTCAGTCTAGATTTAGTCTCCTGGAGCGGGAAGAAGTGACTCGACCGCTCTGAGTTTTCCGTTTAACAACACCCCTTCCCAGACCCCAACAGAGTAGGATAAAGAACTCTGCCACTCCACAGGGGCCTAATGAAAATGTGCACTTCAAAAAGTTCCTTCTGTCAGAGTTACTACTGCACATATCCGGTTCAAAGTAGGGATTCTACCCCCTGGGGGACAAAAATGAGAGCTCTCATTACCTTTTTTATCAAGTTGTCTTCCAATTCCAAGCTGTTGGAATCAGGTGGGTAAAGAATGCTTGGGGCTATACAAACGGATAAATTATAAGCTGTCATCTGATTGGATGAGGAATGTTGCTCAATGTTGTATAGCACTCCAAAAAGGTATCGCAAGAGAACAACATTTGCTCTTGGCAGCTGGGCTAAAAGCCTAAGGTCAGAAAAACACACTTTTAAATTAGGCAAGTGATTCCACTTAGGAGGCTGGAAAAACTGAGACAGGGAAAAGGGTATATCCTTGTATATCTAGCACACAACCCGCTGTAGCAGAGTTCCAGGCATGAATGTAGACAAAATTGGTGCACTGAATTCAGTTCCTGAGCCAGATAAACACTTCTCTGATTAGTTAAATGTTTGACAGACTTTTAAGGTCATAGCCCTGGCAGTTGATGCTCTTGCATGTGTCTTGAACCAGGGAATTTCGTCTACAAGTTGCATGGATCCAGAAGGGGTCAAACGGCCAAGGAGTCCACATTAATAAGATCAGGAGAAGAACAATAATAGCCCTAAAGCATGCCTCTATTCTGAAGCTGGGCCCCATGGGCGTGAAGAATTGAAACTCTTTGGCGTTGGTCATGATTACAGTGTGCAAAGCTGCAAAACGTAAGCCAATGTTTTCCTGATAGTATGTTGGCTGTATTTTGGAGATGTGACCAGAGTAGAGTAATTAGTGCATCATTACCTCTGGGCTGCAGTTATCTTCTCCTCTTTGTTGCCTTGATCAATAACACCGAGCCATTTGTCATAGAGATCAGATAAAAATATGCTTCCTTTGATATTTCTAAGAAAATCCTTAGGGAGATAAAAAATATATATATATATATAATAGAAAATATGTAGTGGAAATATTCCAGAGAAAATATGTAGTTAAAAAATTCAGTTCAGCCCCCACTTCCTTCAAAGATACCCAAACTGCGACCCACACGGAGCTCGGCTCTGACTCTCCATTGACTTGCACACGCAGGAGCAGGTGCTTGGATTTTCTCCCGCTAAAACTTAGAGGCATAAAAGCAGAGCTTAGGCTGTGGTGGAAATGAAGATAAAGCTCCCTTCTATCATCTGGAACTTATTTTTTGTGTGTGCTTTTTTTGCAAAGTACCACAAACTGACAGGGTCTGGCTATAGACCATCCTAAATCCTATTAGCTTCTTGGACAGAAATACACATACCCATGTTGCTTGTTTTAGACACAGTGCTAGCTCTTCATTCTAGCAAGAAAAGGCCTGAAAGAATCAAAACACGAACAGGTGGGCTCTTGCACACATATTAGGAAAGAACTAGGTCTTCTCACTCGGGGTATGTGTGCTCCCTAAAAGAAAGCTACTCTCACAATTGCTTCATTCTTCCTTTTCTTAACTGTCTAAAAGTTGAGAGTCTAATGGCAGACTCACTGTGGTCCTGAGGATAGATTCATTTCTAGTTTAGGACAATTGTCCAGTTAGTTTGCCATGATATTATCAAGGCCAAGGTTGCAGAGTCTGATTCTCTACCAAGATCCGTCAACTTCAGGAAGAGAAAACTTTAGAAATGTCTAAGCACTCTCCCCACAAGTGCTCACCCTCTTCCTAGTCAGTGCTTATAACACGGAATCAGGAAAGAACCTCCTAAGTCTTGCTAGAAAATCGATTCCATGTGTGCACCTTACAGAGCGCAACACTCATCTTGCTACCTCGTGTATCATCATTCTTCTCTCCTGTCTCCTGATGCCTATATGTGTATTACTACGGGATATCACTATGGCCCCACGTAGGAGTGGTTACCTAAGTCATTTCTGGACCTTGCTATTTATCACATCTTCGAACATTAACGGGGGACAAGGGAAGACCAAATGTGACTGAGATTCTAAGACTGTAGTCATTACTACGTTAACATAGGTTTGTTCAGAGCTGTTCATAAGTGCCAAGGTGGATGGATTAAATTATTTCCCTGTTCTATTTCTTTTGGAAAGTTTGCCTTCATTAGGAGGGTGGTGAGGATGTTTGCATGAGTAAACAGTCTGTATGTATTGGTGTGTATTTTGAAATTTATTATCATGACTGGTAGTCATTTCAGTATTAGTATTTTGCATGGAGTCTTCAGGAGTCAAGGTGGGGAGGGCGGTGTGTAGTGAAAACAGAAAGTATTTCTAACACATGGGGCCTTTAACTCCTCTAGTAGCTTCCTTAAATTTTTATTTTTGTCAAGCGTTTTTCAGCTTGTCAGGTTCTTAATCTATTATGCCCGTTATGGTTCTTGAGCAGTCATGATGAAGGACACCAATCATAGGTTCAGTTACTCGTGTGTGGATGATGGTAGAACCTTCCCTACCTTTAAGACGGATGCGACCACATGAACAGATTCGCTGTACGGGTTCACTTTGACCCCAGAATTTAGTTTCTCCTTTAGGACATGGCAGGATTTTATATTGGCTGAGTTTCTGAATATGCCTTCTGTGAGGGGCCCTTTTTGATTAATAAAGGAAAGCATACCCTGTAGGAAGAAAAGAAACGTATATGGCATCTCATATACACAAACGCAGAGCACAAGCTTGCCTCCGTTTTTAAAGCGGAGGGGAATGTAATGGTACACTGTTTTAGAGCGGGAAGGACTAAAGTTAATTTAGATTGTTTTTTTTTTCAGTGTCTCTATATACTTTCTACCCAAATATCCATTTTACAGTCATACACTGAAACATTTTAAATACTTCTTTTAATCAGATTTTCCTTTCCATTGAGTTTCCACTTTTAAATCAAACTTCTCCACTTCAAGGCCTTTGCGGAATCACCGTCTGTTTCCTACTTTACCATTCTTTTCTCATTATTCCCTTACATAGATGCTCTTCCCCAAGTCTGGAAGGCTATTTAGGGAATACTCATTTCCCATTTGTTTATTTCTCTTTAAGTGACTGTATACTCCTTTCCTACTTGTTCTATTTCCATCCTTCTTTTAAAGTCAGGCTCAGAAACTCTCTTCTCTTTCTCTGATTACCCTCCCTTCTCATGAGTCTTTCATTGTCTTTTGCTCTATCTTCATGTCCTCTCTCTGCTGTGTAGAGTCTTAATAAGGGCTGGACTCAGGGAATCCAACGGATCTGAAGTCTATTATTCTTTTTATCTATTGTGTGAACTGGGGCACATACATCCTGTATTGAGGCTTTTCTGATTCGGTTTGGCAGTGCAGAGGATGATAATCCTAGCTAGCCCCTAAATTTGCTGTGATGCAAGGACCTGGGGTAGTAGCTAGCAGGTAACATCCTAGCTAAGATGATACATTTCTTCATAGCTAGCAGACTGTTCCCTACATCCCGTACAATGCTTGCAGAGACACTGAATACTCAGTGAAGGTCCACACTGAGAATTCACTACAGCAGTTTGAGATAACACAGGCCAAACTCTGTGGCTTTCATTTGACATACTCTGTTAGGATTAACAGATTCCTATTTGCCAGAGGATGAGTCTATGCTCGTGTCAGATGTTTGCAGTTGTTAGACTGAGTAGACTCCGCTGAAGGAGACTTGAGACTCATGTGAGTGCAGGAAGGCAATGAAGGGAGAGTGTAAAGATGAGGTGGACTCTCAGAGGCTCACATACACAGAGTCCATTTTGACTGATCTGAACAGGCCTCGGTGGGTCTTTGTGGAAACAAGATACAAGTGGAATGGAGAAGAATGTCTTTTCCTGTTGTATTTGCCTCATGACTCTGCTGGACCTAAGTCAGATTCTGTTCATTGAAATAACAGTAACAGAGCTTCTCAGCCAAAGCCAGAGGCTGTCTAATGACTTCTCCATTTGGGGATAGATTTGGATGAGGACACGTGGCCTCTCAGAGTTTCCCCTCCTCAGGAGGGCTATAGAAGACCAAAAGGAGATGACCTACCAGAATTGGAAAGGGCAGCTTGTCTTTATAACACATATCCATGAGGGAAACTCCAAAGAGCTGTCCTGGCTTTGCGGAAGTTGGGGATGTGCACTGATTGTGCTGGAAAGTTCTGGTGCCCCACCAAAAGGCCCTGGCTCTGAAATAACGGCTTTTCACAGTCTTCTTCCCGTAATCTAAGGAAGAAGTGAGATTAGTAGTAGTAGTTGTTGTTTAATACGCTGAACCTTCTTTTTCCTTTTTTTTTTTTACAGATTTTATTTATATTTTGACAGAGAGAGAGAGACAGCGAGAGAGGGAACACTAGCAGGGGGAGGGGGAGAGGGAGAAGCAGGCTTCCCTCGGAGCAGGGAGCCCGATGCGGGGCTTGATCCCAGGATCCCGGGATCATGACCTGAGCTGAAGCTGGACGCTTAACGACTGAGCAACTCATGTGCCCCAGACTCATCTTAATTCCTGATGACTTGTATTTTTCTAAAGATTTCCTCAAAGCAATGTGGTAAGCATCATAAAACCAAGAAATGTCAGAAATATGGAGGGATTGATGATACGTGTCTCCAGGTTCTGAATCGAAAGTCTACCTTCTAAGGTGGACTGCTGCCAGGTAGCTGTGATTAGCTAGGCTCAAATCATACTACCTCTGGTCTCAGGAGCACTTCTCCTAGGCCTATTAATGGCTTTTTTGGGATTACATCCATCATCTTATTTAGTCTTTACCAGAATTCTAAGATTGAGACATCATTTTTATCCACATTTTAGAGATGAATAAACTGATGCTGAGCTGGAATAACTGGCCAAAGATAATATAGCTGGTAAATTAGGGCAGAGGAATTTACACTCTGGAGAGGTAGTTTGACATCAAGTCAAGTCCTTTTTTCTCAATGATGCCAGTTCTTTTGAACCCGTTTCAAAGGGCACTGGAATCCTGTGGTGCCGCAAGAGCCCCTGAGCCAAAAGAGGAGGGAGTGGAAGAAAGGCCCCTTGCTCTGGCTTCAACCCGAGCACATCTTGTATACATAAATATATATATTATTATATATTTATATACTATAAGTATCTAATTATATATTATATATATGTAACTACATATATATGTATGATGTTATACCCATTTGGAATTTTGATAGAAAAAATTCCCAAACACTGTACCATACCATGATGAGTCCTAATGCCCTTATGATCTACACTAGAAACTTCTTGAAGTCAGAGACATCATCTTATTCTTTCTTTGGTCTCACAACAGTGTGGAACTTCCCTTGACCTGTGAGCCAGCCTTCGGAAGAAGGAGCCCATGGAAATCCTTGCCCTGGCGATGCTCTGGGCTCCAGAACAGCTCTGTCTAAGCATCTCCCATGACCCCTGGCAACCTTGCTGTCTGTTTCTCACTAAAGCCAATTAAATTACGCCCGGTACCTGCGGCCTTCTCGCTGTTACCATGACTCATTGAGTTCTCACCCAAGAGGGAAGTGATGTCTTCTCCAAATATCCTGAGGCAATTTTCAATGAGAAATTGTACAAGACAAATCTGTAACACAAAAAGACAGGAATGGGGTGCTCTTTTCCATAGGGCATAGTTATAAATCATATTTTGTATACAGACCTTGGATCTAAGAAAAAATGGGAAGGACTTCTCAGAAAAATTCAGAGTTGATAAAAATATGTAGAAACCAGGGGCGCCTGGGTGGCTCAGTCGGTTAAGCATCTGCACTCGGCTCAGGTCGTAATTCCAGGGTGCTGGGATCAGCCATATATCGGGCTCCCTGCACAGTGGGAAGCCTGCTTCTCCGTCTCCCACTCCCCCAGCTTGTGTTTTCTCTCTCGCTGTGTCCCTCTCAGTCAAGTAAATAAAAGCTTAAAAAAAACCCCAAAAAACCCCCAAAACACATAGAAACCAGAGTTCTCTCAGAAGTAACTTAGAAAGAGTGATACTTTCCCGTGTACTTTGGGAATACATTTTAAAATACTGCTCATCCGTGGGCTAAAGTTATAATGCGTGGCCTAGTTTAAGAGCTAACAGTTTGGGATCAGCGGTTACGTCTTTAAGCCTAGGATAAATTTCGGGGCTCCACAGTTGGGCGTCTGACTCTTGGTTTCGGCGCAGATCACGATGTCATCGTGGTGAGATCCAGCCCCACATGGAGCCAACTTTGGGCTCCGTGCTCAGCGGGGAATCGGCTTGGGCTTCTCCCTCTCCCTCTCCCTCTCCCTCTCCCTCTCCCTCTCCCTCTTCTTCTGCCCCTGCCCCGCTCACGCTCTCTCTTTCCCTTTCTCAAATAAATACGTATCAAAAAATAAATAAAACTAGGATAATATTCAAAGTAGCCTACCTTATTAAAGTTTACTTATTTTTTGTTTTTAAATTTTGTTTCCAGTTTTATTGAGTTGTAACTGATGTATACCATCTTATGAAACTTAATAAAGTATGAACAAAAACTTAAGAAAACCATTTCTTAAATGAGGAAGCATCTTAAAGTTGGGAAGGAGAGATTTTGGTGGGGTTGTGAGGGAAAACCTACAGAGCTGGAGAGAAAACGTATCTGTCTGTGTAACTTCAGTCCCTTCTCACGCATGGCTTTGCCTCATACTGGCTCTCTCTGGGTGAGCTTGGGGAAGACCTGTTATCTTATTAGGATATTCTGGAATCTCTTGCTACTTTCCGTATGATGTAGCAGAAGTGAAATAGTAGCCGAGTACTTTTCTAGATGAGCCACAATTGGCAGAGGAAGGCCAATGTGTTTGGAGGCATGGGTGCTCATATTGCCCAAGCCACCTAGGATGTGCCAGTGATGACCAGAGGAGCTGCCTGTTGTCGCCATTGTGTAGTGAGGAAACCATGGCTTTGCCCAAAGATATGAGTCCCTCAGGGATTAGGCTGAGAGTTAAACCTTGACTGGTGAAGCTCCAAAGCCCAGGTTCTTTTCTATCGTATCACACGACTCTTCTCTCTCTCATTTAGTCAGTCTAGGTTTAGTCTCCTGGAGCGGGAAGAAGTGACTCGACCGCTCTGAGTTTTCCGTTTAACAACACCCCTTCCCAGACCCAACCAGAGTAGGATAAAGAACTCTGCCACTCCACAGGGGCCTAATGAAAATGTGCACTTCACAAAGTTCCATCTGTCAGAGTTACTACTGTACATGTCCGGGTCAAAGTAGGGATTCTACCCCCCAGGGGACAAAAATGAGAGCTCTCATTACCTTTTTTATCAAGTTGTCTTCCAATTCCAAGCTGTCGGAATCAGGTGGGTAAAGAACGCTTGGGGCTATACAAACAGATAAATTATAAGCTGTCATCTGATTGGATGAGGAATGTTGCTCGATGTTGTATAGCACTCCAAAAAGGTATTGCAAGAGAACAACATTTGCTCTTGGCAGCTGGGCTAAAAGCCTATGGTCAGAAAAACACACTTTTAAATTAGGCAAGTGATTCCACTTAGGAGGTTGGAAAAACAGACAGGGAAAAGGATACATCCTTGTATATCTAGCACACAACCCGCTCTAGCAGAGTTCGAGGCATGAATGTAGACAAAATTCTTGCACTGAATTCAGTTCCTGAGCCAGAAAAACACTTCTCTGGTTAGTTAAACGTTTGTCAGACTTTTAAGGTCATAGCCCTGACAGTTGATGCTCTTGCATGTGTCTTGAACCAGGGAATTTCGTCTACAAGTTGCATGGATCCAGAGGTGTCAAACGGCCAAGGAGTCCACAATAAGATCAGGAGAAGAACAATAATAGCCCTAAAGCGTGCCTCTATTCTTAAGCTGGGCCACATGGGTGTGAAGAATTGAAATTCTTTGGCGTTGGTCATGATTATAGTGGGCAAAGCTGCAAAACGTAAGCCAATGTTTTCCTAATGGTATGTTGGCTTTATTTTGGAGATGTGACCAGAGTAGAGTAATTATTGCATCATTACCTCTGGGCTGCAGTTATATTCTCCTCTTTGTTGCCTTGATCAATAACACCGAGCCATTTGTCATAGAGGTCAGATAAAAATATACTTCCTTGGATATTTCTACGAAAATCCTTAGGGATATAAAAGAAAAAAAAAATATATATATATATACTATAGAAAATATGTATTGGAAATATTCCAGAGAAAATATGTAGTTAAAAAATTCAGTTCAGCCCCCACTTCCTTCACAGATACCCAAACTGGGACCCACACACAGCTCGGCTCTGACTTTCAATTGACTTGCACACGCAGGAGCAGGTGCTTGGATTTTCTCCCGCTAAAAGTTAGAGGCATAAAAGCAGAGCGTAGGCTGTGGTGGAAACGAAGATAAAGCTCCCTTCTATCATCTGGAACTTAGTTTTTGTGTGTGGTTTTTTTTTTGCAAAGAACCACAAACTGACAGGGTCTGGCTATAGACCATCCTAAATTCGATTAGCTTCCTGGACAGAAATACACATACCCATGTTGCTTGTTTTAGACACAGTGCTAGCTCTTCATTCTAGCAAGAAAAGGACTGAAACAATCAAAACACAAACAGGTGGGCTCTTGCAGACATATTAGGAAAGAACTAGGTCTTCTCACTCGGGGTAGGTGTGCTCCCTGGAAGAAAGCTACTCTCACAATGGCTTCATTCTTCCTTTTCTTAACTGTCTAAAAGTCGAGAGTCTAATGGCAGACTCACTGTGGTCCTAAGGATAGATCCATTTCTAGTTTAGGCCAATTGTCCAGTTAGTTTGCCATGATATTATCAAGGCCAAGGTTGCAGAGTCTGATTCTCCACCAAGATCCGTCAACTTCAGGAAGAGAAAACTTTAGAAATGTCTAAGCACTGTCCCCCAAGTGCTCACCCTCTTCCTAGTCGGTGCTTATAACACGGAATCAGGAAAGAACCTCCTAACTCTTGCTAGAAAATCGATTCCATGTGTGCACCTTACAGAGGGCAACACTCATCTTGCTACCTAGTGTATCATCATTCTTCTCCTGTCTCCTGATGCCTGTATGTATATTACTGCTGGATATCACTATGGCCCCAGTGTAGGAGTGGTTACTTACCTAAGTCATTTCTGGACCTTGCTATTGATCCCATCTGCGAACATTAATGGGGTACAAGGGAAGACCAAATGTGACTGAGATTCTATGACTGTAGTCATTACTACGTTAACATAGGGTTTTTCAGAGCTGTTCATAAGTGCCAAGGTTCATGGATTAAATTCTTTCCCTGTTCTATTTCTTTTGGAAAGTTTGCCTTCATTAGGAGGGTGGTGAGGATGTTTTCATGGGTAAACTGTGTGTATGTATCGGTGCGTAGTTTGAAATTTATTATCATGACTAGAAGTCATTTCAGTATTAGTATTTTGCATGGAGTCTTCAGGAGTGAAGGTGGGGAGGGCGGTGCGTAGTGAAAACAGAAAGTATTTCTAACACATGGGGCTTTTAACTCCTAAAGTAGCTTCCTTAAATTTTGATTTTGTCAAGCATTTTACAGCTTGTCAGGTTCTTAATCTATTATGCCTTTTATGGTTCTTGAGCAGTCATGATGAAGGACACCAATCATCGCTTCAGTTACTCACGTGGGGATAATGCTAGAACCTTCCGTACCTTTAAGACGGATGCAACCACATGAACAGATTCGCTGTACGGGTTCACTTTGACCCCAGAATTTAGTTTCTCCTTTAGGACATGGCAGGATTTTATATTGGCTGAGTTTCTGAAGACGCCGTCTGTGAATGGCTCTTTTTGATTAATAAAGGAAAGCATACCCTGTAGGAAGAAAAGAAAAGTATTTGGGATCTCATATCCACAAACGCAGAGCACAAGCTTGCCCGTTTTGAAAGAGGAGGGGAATGTAATGGTACACTGTTTTAGAGTGGGAAGGACTAAAGTCAATTTAGATTGTTGTTTTTCCAGTGTCTCTCTATATACTTTCTACCCATATATCCATTTTACAGTCATACATTGAAACATTTTAAACACTTCTTTTAATCAGATTTTCCTTTCCATTGAGTTTCCACTTTTAAATCAAACTTCTCTGCTTCAAGGCCTTTGCGGAATCACCGTCTGTTTCCTACTTTACCATTCTTTTCTCATTATTCCCTTACGTAGATGCTCTTCCGCAAGTATGGAAGTCTATTTAGGACATACTCTTTTCCCTTTTTTTATTTCTCTTTAAGTGACTGTATACTCCATTCGTACTTGTTCTATTTCGTTCCCTCTTTTAAAGTCAGGCTAAAAAATTCTCTTGTCCTTCTCTGATTACCCTGCCTTCTCATGAGTCTTTCATTGTCTTTTGCTGTATCTTCATGTCCTCTCTCTGCTGTGTAGAATCTTTATAAGGGCTGGACTCAGGGAATCCAACGGATCTGAAGTCTATTATGCTACTTATCTATTGTGTGAGCTGGGGCACATACATCCTGTACTGAGGCTTTTCTGATTCGGTTAGGCAGTGCGGAGGATGATAATCCTAGCTAGCCCCTAAATTTGCTGTGATGCAAGGACCTGGGGTAGTAGCTAGCAGGTAACAAAGTAGCTAATATGATACATTTCTTCATAGCTAGCAAAACGTTCCCTACATACCTACAGTGCTTGCAGAGACACCAAATACTCAGTGAATGTCCACACTGACAATTCATTACAGCAGTTTGAGATAACACAGGCCAAACTCTGTGGCTTTCATTGGACATATTCTGTTAGGATAAACAGATTCCTATTTGCCAGAGGATGAGTCTATGCTCATGTCAGATGTTTGCAGTTGTTAGACTGAGTAGACTCCGCTGAAGGAGACTTGAGACTCATGTGAGTTCAGCAAGGCAATGAAGGGAGAGTGTGAAGATGAGGTGGAGTCTCCGAGACTCACATACACAGAGTCCATTTTGACTGATCTGAACAAGCCTCCGCATGTCTTTGTGGAAACAAGACCCACGTGGAATGGAGAAGAATGTCTTTTCCTGTTGTATTTGCCTCATGACTCTGCAGGACCTAAGTCAGATTCTGTTCCTTGAAATAACAGTAATAGAGCTTCTGAGCCAAAGCCAGGGGCTGTTTCATGACTTCTCCATTTGGGGATAGATTTGGATGAGGACACGTGGCCTCTCAGAGTTTCCCCACCTCAGAAGAGCTATAGAAGACCAAAATGAGATGACCTACCAGAATTGGGAAGGCCAGGTTGTCTTTATAACACACAACCATGAGGGAAACTCCAAAGAGCTGTCCTGGCTTTGCAGAATGTGGGGCTGTGCACTGGTTCTGCTGGCAAGTGCTGGAGCCCCACCAAAAGGCCCTGTCTCTGAAAGAACGGCTTGTCACAGTTTTCTTGCTGGAGTCTAAGGAAGAAGAGAGAGTACTAGTAGTAGTAGTTTTTTAATACGCTGAAACTTCTTCCTTTTTTTTTTTTTTTTTTTTACAGATTTTATTTATATTTTGACAGAGGGAGAGAGACAGCGAGAGAGGGAACACAAGCAGGGGGACGGGGAGAGGGAGAAGCAGGCTTCCCTCAGAGCAGGGAGCCCGATGCGGGGCTCGATCCCAGGACCCCGGCATCATGACCTGAGCTGAAGGCAGTTGCTTAACGACTGAGCCACCCAGGTGCCCCAGACTCATCTTAATTCCTGATGACTTGTATTTTCCTAAAGATTTCCTCAAAGCAATGTGGTAAGCATCATAAAACCAAGAAATGTCAGAAATATGGAGGGATTGATGATACGTGTCTCCAGGTTCTGAATCGAAAGTCTACCTTCCAAGGTGGACTGCTGACAGCTGTTATTAGCTAGGCTCAAAACATACTAGCTCTAGTCTCAGGGGCACTTCTCCTAGTCTTATTAATGGTTTTTTTGGGATTACATCCATCATCTTATTTATTCTACACAACAATTCTAAGATTTAGACATTATTTTTATCCATATTTAGAGATGAATTAACTGATGCTGAGCTGGTATAACTGGCCAAAGATAATATAGCTGGTAAATGCGGGCACAGGAATTTACACTCTGGAGAGGTAGTTTGACATCAAGTCAAGTCCTTTTTTCTCAATGATGACAGTTCTTTTTAACCCATTTCAAAGGGCACTGGAATCCTGTGGTGCCTCAAGAGCCCCTGAGCCAAAAGAGGACGGAGGGGAAGAAAGGCCCCTTCTCTGGCTTCAACCAGAGTACTTCTAATGTACATAAATATATATATTATGATAATATATTTATATACTATAAGTATCTAATTATATATTATATATAACTACATACACATGTATGATGTGTTTTACATATATATATATACATATATATACAAATATATACATACATATACATACATCCTGTACTGAGGCTTTTCTGATTCATTATTACATATATACATATATATATAAATATATATGTATGTATATGTATAGCACCCTTTTAGAATTTTGTTAGAAAAAAATCCCAAACACTGTAGCATACCATGATGAGTCCTAATGCCTTTATGATCTACACTAGAAACTTGTTGAAGTCAGAGACCTCATCTTATCCTTTCTTTGGTCTGACAACAGTGTGGAACCTCCTTTGACCTGTTGAGCCAGCCTTTGGAAGAAGGAGCACATGGAAATCATTGCCCTGGCAATGCGCTGGGCTCCAGAACAGCACTGTCTATGCATCTCCCATGACCCTTGGCAGCCTTGCTGTCTGCTTCTCACTAAAGCCAATTAAATTACTCCCGGTACCTGCAGCCTTCTCACTGTTACCACGACTCATTGAGTTCTCTCCCAAGAGGGAAGTGATGTCTTCTCCAAATATCCTGAGGCAATTTTCAAGGAGAAATTGTACAAGAGAAATCTGTAACACAAAAAGACAAAAATGAGGTGTTCTTTTCCATAGGCCATAGTTTTAAACACATTATGTATATAGACCTTGGATCTAAGGAAAAACGGGAAGGACTTGTCAGAAAAATTCAGAGTTGATAAAAATACGTAGAAACCAGGGGCACCTGGGTGGCTCAGTCAGTTACGCATCTCCCTTCGGCTCAGGTCAAGATCCCAGGGTGCTGGGATCAACCCTATATCTGGCTCCCTGCTCAGCGGGAAGCCTGCTTCTTCCTCTCCCACTCTCCCTGCTTGTGTTCCCTCTCTGTCAAGTAAATAAATCAAATCTTAAAAAAAAAAAACCAAAAACATAGAGACCAGAGTTGTCTAGGAAATAACTTAGAATGACTGATGCTTTCCCGTGTACTTTGGGTACACATTTTGAAATACTGCTCATCCGTGGGCTAAAGTTATAATGCGTGGCCTAGTTTCATAGCTAACATTTTGGGATCAGTGGTTACATCTTTAAGCCTAGGATAAATTTCGGGGCCCCTCAGTTGAGCGTCGGACTCTTGATTTCGGCGCAGATCACAATCTCATGGTGGTGAGATCCAGCCCCACATGGAGCCAACTTTCGGCTCTGGGCTCAGCAGGGAATCGGCTTGGTCTTCTCCCTCTCCCTCTTCTTCTGCCCCTGCCCCACTCACGCTCTCTTTCCCTCTCTCAAAGAAATACATATCCAAAAATAAATAAAACTAGGATAATATTCAAAGTAGCCTACCTTATTAAAGTTTACCTGTTTTTTGTTTTTAAATTTTGTTTCCAGTTTTATTGAGCTGTAACTGATGTATAACATCTTATGAAACTTTATAAAGTATGAACAAAAACTTAAGAAAACCATTTCCTAAATGAAGAAGAATCTTAAAGTTGAGAAGCAGAGATTTTGGTGGGGTTGTGAGGGAAAACCCACACAGCTGGAGAGAAAATGTATCTGTCTGTCTAACTTCAGTCCCTTCTCACACATTGGTTTGCCTCATGCTGGCTCTCTCTGCGTGAGCTTGGGGAAGACCTGTCATCTTGTTAGGATGGTGTGGAATCTTTTGCTAGTTTCCATAAGATGTAGCAGAGGTGAAATAGTAGCCAAGTACTTTTCTAGAGAGCCACTATTGGCAGAGGAAGGCCATTGTGTTTGGAGCCATGGGGGCTCATATTGCCCAAGCCACCCAGGATATGCCTGTCATGACCAGAGGAGCTGGCTGTTGTCGCCATTGTGTAGTGAGGAAACCATGGCTTTGCCCAAGGTTACGAGTCCCTCAGGGATTAGGCTGAGAGTTGAACCTTGACTAGTGAAGCTCCAAAGCCCACGTTCCTTTCTATCGTATCACACGACTCTTCTCTCTCTCGTTTAGTCACTCTAGTGTTTAGTCTCCTGGAGGGGGAAGAAGTGACTCGACTGCTCCGAGTTTCCCGTTTAACGACAGCCCTTCCCAGACCCCGCCAGAGTAGGATAAAGAACTCTGCCACTCCACAGGGGCCTAATGAAAATGTGCACTTCACAAAGTTCCATCCGTCAGAGTTACTACTGCACATGTCCGGTTCAAAGTAGGGATTCTACCCCCTGGGGGACAAAAATGAGAGCTCTCATTACCTGTTTTATCAAGTTGTCTTCCAATTCTAAGGTGCCAGAATCAGGTGCGTAAAGAACGCTTGGGGTTATAAACACTGATAAATTATAAGCTGTCATCTGAGTGGATGAGGGAGGTTGCTCAATGTTGTATAACACTCCAAAAAGGTATCGCAAGAGAACAACATTTCCTCTTGGCAGCTGGGGTAAAAGCCTAAGGTTAGAAAAATACTCATTTAAATTAGGCAAGTGATTCCACTTAGGAGGTTGGAAAAACAGAGACAGGGAACAGGATACATCCTTGTATATCTAGCACACAACCCGGTGTAGCAGAGTTCCAGGCATGAATGTATGCAAAATTGTTGCACTGAATTCAGTTCATGAGCCAGATAAAAACTTCTCTGGTTAGTTAAATGTTTGACAGACCTTTAAGGTCATAGCCCTGGCAACTGATGTTCTTGCATCTGTCTTGGACCAGGGGATTTCCTCTAACAGTTTCATGTACCCATAAGATGTAAAACGGCCAAGGATTCCAAATTAATAAGATCAGAAGAAGAATGATAATAGCCCTAAAGTGTGCCTCTATTATGAACCTGGCCCCCATGGGTGTGAAGAATTGAAACTCTTTGGCATTGGTCATGATTATAGTGGGCAAAGCTGCAAAACGTAAGCCAATGTTTTCCTGATAGTATGTTGGCTGTATTTTGGAGATGTGACCAGAGTAGAGTAATTATTGCATCATTACCTCTGGGCTGCAGTTATCTTCTCCTCTTCGTTGCCTTGATCAATAACACCGAGCCATTTGTCATAGAGATCAGATAAAAATATACTTCCATGGATATTTCTAAGAAAATCCTTAGGGAGATAAAAAAAACTATGTATATATATTGTAGAAAATATGTATTGGAAATATTCCAGAGAAAATATGTAGTTAAAAAATTCAGTTCAGCCCCCACTTCCTTCACAGATATCCAAATTGTGACCCACACGGTGCTCGGCTCTGACTCTCCATTGACTTGCACATGCAGCAGCAGATGCTTGGATTTTCTCCCCCTAAAACTTAGAGGCATAAAAGCAGAGCTTAGCCTGTGGTGGAAATGAAGATAAAGCTCCCTTCTATCATCTGGAACTTATTTTTTGTGTGTGCTTTTTTTGCAAAGTACCACAAACTGACAGGGTCTGGCTATAGACCATCCTAAATCCTATTAGCTTCTTGGACAGAAATACACATACCCATGTTGCTTGTTTTAGACACAGTGCTAGCTCTTAATTCTAGCAAGAAAAGCCCTGAAACAATCAAAACACAAACAGGTGGGCTCTTGCACACACATTAGGCAAGAGGTAGGTCTTCTCATTCGGGGTATGTGTGTTCCCTGGAAGAAAGCTACTCTCACAATTGCTTCATTCTTCCTTTTCTTAACTGTCTAAAAGTCGAGAGTCTAATGGCAGACTCACTGTGGTCCTGAGGATAGATTCATTTCTAGTTTAGGACAATTGTCCAGTTAGTTTGCCATGATATTATCAAGGCCAAGGTTGCAGAGTCTGATTCTCCACCAAGATCTGTCAACTTCAGGAAGAGAAAACTTTAGAAATGTCTAAGCACTATACCCACAAGTGCTCACGCTCCTCCTAGTCAGTGCTTATAACACAGAAACAGGAAAGAACCTACCAACTCTTGCTAGAAAATAGATTCCATGTGTGCACCTTACAGAGCGCAACACTCATCTTGCTACCTAGTGTATTCTCATTCCTCTCCTGTCTCCTGATGCCTATATGTATATTACTACTGGATATCACTATGGCCCCAGTGTAGGAGTGGTTACCGAAGTCATTTCTGGACTTTGCTATTTATCACATCTTCGAACATTAATGGGGGACAAGGGAAGACCAAATGTGATTGAGATTCTAAGACTGTAGTCAGTACTACATTAACATAGGGTTGTTCAAAGCTGTTCATAAGTGCAAAGGTGCATGGATTAAATTCTTTCCCTGTTCTATTTCTTTTGGAAAGTTTGCCTTCATTAGGAGGGTGGTCAGGATGTCTGCTTCGGTAAACAGTGTGTTTGTGTCAGTGCGTATTTTGAAATTTATTATCATGACTGTAGTCATTTCAGTATTAGCATTTTGCATGGAGTCTTCAGGAGTGAAGGTGCGGATGGCTGTGTGTGGTGAAAACAGAAAGTATTTCTAACACATGGGGCTTTTAACTCCTAAAGTTGCTTCCTTAAATTTTGATTTTGTCAAGCGTTTTTCAGCTTGTCACGTTATTAATCTACTATGCCCGTTATGGTTCTTGAGCAGTCATGATGAAGGACACCAATCATCGCTTCAGTTACTCACGTGTGGATAATGCTAGAACCTTCCCTACCTTTAAGACGGATGCGAACACATGAATAGATTCCCTGTACGGGTTCACTTTGACCCCAGAATTTAGTTTCTCCGTTAGGACTCTGCGGGATTTTATATTGGCTGAGTTTCTGAAGACGCCTTCTGTGAGTGGCCCTTTCTGATTAATAAAGGAAAGCATACCCTGTAGGAAGAAAAGAAAAGTATATGGCATCTCATATCCACAAACGCAGAGCACAATCTTGCCTCCGTTTTGAAAGAAAAGGGGAATGTAATGGTACAATGTTTTAGAGCGGGAAGGACTAAAGTCAATTTAGATTGCTGTTTTTTCAGTGTCTCTCTCTATATACTTTCTACCCATATATCCATTTTACAGTCATACACTGAAACATTTTAAACACTTCTTTTAATCAGATTTTCCACTAAGTTTACACTTTTAAATCAAACTTCTCTGCCTCAAGGCCTTTGCGGAATAACCGTCTGTTTCCTACTTTCCCATTCTTTTCACATTTTTCCCTTACATACATGCTCTTCCGCAAGTATGGAAGTCTAGTTAGGAAATACTCATTTCCCATTTGTTTATTTCTCTTTAAGTGACTGTATACTCCATTCCTACTTGTTCTATTTCCTTCCCTCTTTTAAAGTCAGGCTCAGAAACTCTCTTCTCCTTCTCTGATTACCCTCCCTTCTCATGAGTCTTTCATTGTCTTTTGCTGTATCTTCATGTCCTCTCCCTGCTGTGTAGAAATTTAATAAGGGCTGGACTCAGGGAATCCAACGGATCTGAAGTCTATTATGCTACTTAACTATTGTGTGCGTTGGGGCACATACATCCTGTACTGAGGCTTTTCTGATTCGTTTAGGCAGTGCGGAGGATGATAATCCTAGCTAGCCCCTAAATTTGCTGTGATGCAAGGAACTGGGGTAAGTAGCTAGCAGGTAACATGCTAGCTAAGATGATGCATTTCTTCATAGCTAGCAGAACGTTCCCTACATCCCGTACAGTGCATGCAGAGACACCGAATACTCAGTGAAGGTCCACACTGACAATTCACTACAGCAGTTTGAGATAACACAGGCCAAACTCTGTGGCTTTCGTTTGACATATTCTCCTAGGATTAACACATTCCTATTTGCCAGAGGATGAGTCTATGCTCGTGTCAGATGTCTGCAGTTGTTAGACTGAGTAGACTCCGCTGAAGGAGACTTGAGACTCATGTGAGTTCAGCAAGGCAATGAAGGGAGAGTGTGAAGATGAGGTGGAGTCTCCGAGACTCACATACACAGAGTCCATTTTGACTGATCTGAACAAGCCTCCGCATGTCTTTGTGGAAACAAGACCCAAGTGGAATGGAGAAGAATGTCTTTTCCTGTTGCATTTGCCTCATGACTCTGCAGGACCTAAATCAGATTCTATTCTTTGAAATAACAGTTATAGAGCTTCTCAGCCAAAGCCAGGGGCTGTCTAATGACTTCTTCATTTGGGGATAGATTTGGATGAGGACGCTTGGCCTCTCAGAGTTTCCCCTTCTCAGGAGGGCTCTAGAAGACCAAAAGGAGTTGACCTACCAGAATTGGGAAGGACAAGTTGTCTTTATCACACACATCCATGAGGGAAACTCCAAAGAGCTGTCCTGGCTTTGCGGAAGGTGGGGCTGTGCACTGGTTGTGCTGGGAAGTGCTGGAACCCCGACAAAACACCCTGTCTCTGAAAGAACGGGTTTTCACAGTCTTCAGGCTGGAGTCTAAGGAAGAAGTGAGAGTACTCGTAGTAGTAGTTGTTGTTTAATATGTTGAACCTTCTTTTTCCTTTTTTTTTTTTTTTTACAGATTTTATTTATTTTTTGACAGAGAGAGAGAGACAGCAAGAGAGGGAACACAAGTAAGGGGAGGGGGAGAGGGAGAAGCAGGCTTCCCTTGGAGCAGGGAGCCTGATGCGGGGCTCGGTACCAGGACCCCAGGATCATGACCTGAGCTGAAGGCAGATGTTTAACGACTGAGCCACCCAGGTGCCCCAGACTCATCTTAATTCCTGATAACTTGTATTTTCCTAAAACTTTCCTCAAAGCATGTGGTACGTGTCATGAAAAGAAGAAATGTCAAAAATATGGAGGGATTGATGATACGTGTCTCCAGGTTCTGAATCGAAAGTCTACCTTCTAAGGTGGACTGCTGCCAGTTAGGTCTGATTAGCTAGGCTCAAATCATACTACATCTAGTCTCAGGGGCACTTCTCCTAGTGCTATTAATGGCTTTTTTTGGATTACATCCATCATCTTATTTATTCTACACAACAATTCTAAAATTTAGACATTATTTTTATCCACATTTTAGAGATGAATAAACTGATGCTGAGCTGGTATAACTGGCCAAAGATAATATAGCTGGTAAATGGGGGTACAGGAATTTACACTCTGGAGAGGTTGTTTGACATCAAGTCAAGTCCTTTTTTCTCAAAGATGCCAATTCTTTTCAACCCGCTTCAAAGGGCACTGGAATCCTGTGGTGCCTCAAGAGACCCTGAGCCAAAAGAGGAGGGAGGGGAAGAAAAGCCCCTTTCTCTGGCTTCAACCAGCGCACATGTAATATACATAAATATATACATTATGTTTATATATTTATATAGTATCAGTATATAATTATGTAATATATATAACTACATAGATATATATATAGCACCCATTTAAATTTTGTGAGAAAAAGTTCCCAAACACTGTGGCATACCATGATGAGTCCTAATTCCGTTATGATCTACACTAGAAACCTTCTTGAAGTCAGAGACCTCATCTTATCCTTTCTTTGGTCTCACAACAGTGTGGAACCTCCCTTGACCTGTGAGCCAGCCTTCGGGAGAAGGAGCCCATGGAAATCCTTGCCCTGGCGATGCTCTGGGCTCCAGAACAGCTCTGTCTAAGCATCTCCCATGACCCCTGGCAGCCTTGCTGTCTGCTTCTCACTAAAGCCAAATAAATTATTCCCGGTACCTGCAGCCTGCTCGCTGTTACCACGACTCATTGAGTTCTCTCCCAAGAGGGAAGTGATGTCTTCTCCAAATATTTTAAGGCAATTTTCAATGAGAAATTGTACAAGAGAAATCTGTAACACAAAAAGACAAAAATGGGGTGCTCTTTTCCATAGGGCATAGTTATAAATCACATTATGTCTATAGACCTTGGATCTAAGAAAGAATGTGAAAGATTTCCCAGAAAAATTCACAGTTGACAAAAATACATAGAGACCAGGAGCACCTGGGTGGCTCAATCGGTCAGGCGTCTGCATTCAGCCCAGCTCATGATCCCAGGGTGCTGCGATCAGCCCTACATCGGGCTCCCTGCTCAGCGGGAAGCCTGATTCTCCCTCTCTCACTCCCCCTGCTTGTGTTCCCTCTCTCGCTGTGTCTGCCTCTGTCAAGAAAATAAATATAATCTTAAAAAAAATAATAAAATAAAAAACAGAGACCAGAATTCTCTAAGAAATAACTTAGGAAGAGTGATACTTTTCCGTGTACTTTGGGTACACATTTTAAAATACTGCTAATCAGTAGGCTAAAGTTTTAATATGTGGCCTAGTTTAATAGCTAACATTTTGGTATCAGTGGTTATCATTAAGCCTAGGATAATTTTTGGGGCCCCTCTGTTGAGCATCTGACTCTTGATTTTGGCTCAGATCACTATCTCATGATGGTGAGATCCAGCCCCACATGGAGCCAACTTTGGGCTCTGTGCTCAGCGGGGAATCAGCTTGGGCTTCTCCCTCTCCCTCTCCCTCTTCTTCTGCCCCTGCCCCGCTCACGCTTTCTCTTTCCCTCAAATAAATACATATCAAAAAATAAATAAAACTAGGATAATTTTCAAAGTAGCCTACCTTATTAAAGTTTACTTATTTTTTGTTTTTAAATTTTTTTTCCAGTTTTATTGAGCTGTAACTGATGTATACCATCTTATGAAACTTTATAAAGTATGAACAAAAACTTAAGAAAACCATTTCTTAAATGAAGAAGTATCTTAAAGTTGGGAAGTAGAGATTTTTGTGGGGTTGTGAGGGAAAACCCACACAGCTGGAGAGAAAACGTATCTGTCTGTCTAACTTCAGTCCCTTCACACGCATGGCTTTGCCTCATACAGGCTCTCTCTGGGTGAGCTTGGGGAAGACCTGTCATCTTATTAGGATGTTCTGGAATCTCTTGCTAGTTTCTGTTGACATAGCAGAGGTGAAATAGTAGCCGAGTACTTTTCTAGATGAGCCACAATTGGCAGAGGAAGGCCAATGTCTTTGGAGCCATGGGGGCTCATATTGCCCAAGCCACCTAGGATGTGCCAGTGATGACCGGAGGAGCTGGCTGTTGTCGCCATTGTGTAGTGAGGAAACCATGGCTTTGCCCAAGGTTACGAGTCCCTCAGGGATTAGGCTGAGAGTTGAACCTTGACTAGTGAAGCTCCAAAGCCCAGGTTCTTTTCTATCGTATCACACGACTCTTTTCTCTCTCGTTTAGTCAGTCTAGGTTTAGTCTCCTGGAGCGGGAAGAAGTGACTCGACCGCTCTGAGTTTTCCGTTTAACAACACCCCTTCCCAGACCCCACCAGAGTAGGATAAAGAACTCTGCCACTCCACAGGGGCCTAATGAAAATGTGCACTTCACAAAGTTCCTTTTGTCAGAGTTACTACTGCACATGTCCGGGTCAAAGTAGGGATTCTACCCCATGGGGGACAAAAATGAGAGCTCTCATTACCTTTTTTATCAAGTTGTCTTCCAATTCCAAGCTGTTGGAATCAGGTGGGTAAAGAACGCTTGGGGCTATACAAACGGATAAATTATAAGCTGTCATCTGATTGGATGAGGAATGTTGCTCGATGTTGTATAGCACTCCAAAAAGGTATCGCAAGAGAACAACATTTGCTCTTGGCAGCTGGGCTAAAAGCCTAAGGTCAGAAAACACACTTTTAAATTAGGAAAGTGATTCCACTTAGGAGATTGGAAAAACAGAGACAGGGAAAAGGATACAACCTTGTATATCTAGCACACAACCCGCTGTAGCAGAGTTCCAGGCATGAATGTAGACAAAATTGGTGCACTGAATTCAGTTCCTGAGCCAGATAAAAACTTCTCTGGTTAGTTAAATGTTTGACAGACTTTTAAGGTCATAGCCCTGGCAGTTGATGCTCTTTCATGTGTCTTCAACCAGGGAATTTCGTCTACAAGTTTCATGGATCCAGAAGGTGTCAAATGGCCAAGGAGTCCACATTAATAAGATCAGAGGAAGAACAATAATAGCCCTAAGGCGTACCTCTATTCTGAAGCTGACCCCCATGGCTGTGAAGAATTGAAACTCTTTGACATTGGTCATGATTTTAGTGGGCAAAGCTGCAAAACGTAAGCCAATATTTTGCTAATACTATGTTCGCTGTATTTTGGAGATGTGACCACAGTAGAGTAATAATTGCATCATTACCTCCGCGCTGCAGTCATCTTCTCCTCTTCGTTCCCTTGATCAATAACACCGAGCCATTTGTCATAGAGATTGAACAAAAATATACTTCCTGGGATATTTCTTAGGAAATCCTTATGGAGATAAAAATAAATATGTATATATATTATAGAAAATATGTATTGGAAATATTAGAGAGAAAATATGTAGTTAAAAAATTCAGTTCAGCCCCCACTTCCTTCACAGATACCCAAACTGTGACCCACACGGAGCTCGGCTCCGACTCTCTATTGACTTTCACACGCAGCAGCAGGTGCTTGGATTTTCTCCCCCTAAATCTTAGAGGCATAAAAGCAGAGCTTAGGCTGTGGTAGAAATGAAGATAAAGCTCCCTTCTATCATCTGGAACTTATTTTCTTTGTGTGCTTTTTTTGCAAAGTACCACAAACTGACAGCGTCTGGCTATAGACCATCCTAAATCCTATTAGCTTCTTGGACAGAAATACGCTTACCCATGTTGCTTGTTTTAGACACAGTGCTAGCTCTTAACTCTAGCAAGAAAAGGCCTGAAACAATCAAAACACAAACAGGTGGGCTCTTGCACACATATTAGGAAAGAACTAGGTCTTCTCACTCGGGGTAGGTGTGCTCCTTGGAAGAAAGCTACTCTCACAATTGCTTCATTTTTCCTTTTCTTAACTGTCTAAATGTCGAGAGTCTAATGGTAGACTCACTGAGGTCCTGAGGATAGATTCATTTCTAGATTAGGTCAATTCCCAGTTAGTTTGACAATATTATCAAGGCCAAGGTTGCAGAGTCTGTTTCTCCACCAAGATCCGTCAACTTCAGGAAGAGAAAACTTTAGAAATGTCTAAGCACTATACCCACAAGTGCTCACCCTCTCCCTAGTCGGTGCTTATAACACGGAATCGGGGAAAGAACCTCCTAACTCTTGCTAGAAAATCGATTCCATGTGCGCACCTTACAGAGGGCAACACTCATCTTCCTACCTAATGTATCAGCATTCTTCTCCTGTCTCCTGATGCCTATATGTATATTACTACTGGATATCACTATGGCCCCAGTGTAGGAGTGGTTACCGAAGTCATTTCTGGACTTTGCTATTTAGCACATCTTCGAACATTAACGGGGAACAAGGGAAGACCAAATGTGACTGAGATTCTAAGACTGTAGTCATTACTACGTTAACATAGGGTTGTTCAGAGCTGTTCATAAGTGCCAAGGTGGATGGATTAAATTCTTTCCCTGTTCTATTTCTTTTGGAAAGTTTGCCTTCACTAGGAGGGTGGGGAGGATGTTTGCATGAGTAAACAGTGTGTATGTATTGGTGTGTATTTTGAAATTTATTATCATGACTAGTAGTCATTTCAGTATTAGTATTTTGCATGGCGACTTCAGGAGTGAAGGCAGGGTAGGCGGTGTGTAGTGAAAACAGAAAGTATTTCTAACATATGGGGCTTTTAACTCCTAAAGTAGCTTCCTTAAATTTTGATTTATCAAGCGTTTACCAGCTTGTCAGGTTCTTAATCTATTATGCCCATTATGGTTCTTGAGCAGTCATGATGAAAGACACCAATCATAGCGTCAGTTACTCATGTGTGGATAATGCTAGAACCTTCCCTACCTTTAAGACGGATGCGAACACATGAACAGATTCGCTGTACAGGTCCACTTTGACCCCAGAATTTAGTTTCTCCTTTATGACCCTAGTTGATTTTATATTGGGTGATTTGCTGAAGATGCATTCTGTGAGTGGCCCTTTTTGATTAATAAAGGAAAGCATATCCTGTAGGAAGAAAAGGAAATTATATCGCATCTCATATCCCCAAACGCAGAGCTCAAGCTTGCCTCCGTTTTGAAAGAGAAGGGGAATGCAATGGTATACTGTTTTCGTGCAGAAAGGACTAAAGTCAATTTAGATGGCTGTTTTTTCAGTGTCTCTCTATATACTTTCTACCCAAATATCCATTTTACAGTCATACACTGAAACATTTTAAACACTTCTTTTAATCAGATTTTCCTTTCCATTGAGTTTCCACTCTTAAATCAAATTTCTCTGCTTCAAGGCCTTTGCGCAATCACCGTCTGTTTCCTACTTGACCATTCTTTTCTCATTATCCCCTTACGTAGATGCTCTTCCCCAAGTATGGAAGTCTATTTAGGAAATACTCATTTCCCATTTGTTTATTTCTCTTTAAGTGACTGTATACTCCATTCCTACTTGTTCTATTTCCTTCCCTTCATTTAAAGTCAGGCTCAGAAACTCTCTTCCCCTTCTCTGATTACCCTCCCTTCTCATGAGTCTTTCATTGTCTTTTGCTCTATCTTCATGTCCTCTCCCTGCTGTGTAGAAATTTAATAAGGGCTGGACTCAGGGAATCCAACGGATCTGAAGTCTATTATGCTACTTATCTATTGTGTGAGCTGGGGCACATACATCCTGTACTGAGGCTTTTCTGATTCGTTTAGGCAGTGCGGAGGATGATAATCCTAGCTAGCCCCTAAATTTGCTGTGATGCAAGGAACTGGGGTAGTAGCTAGCAGGTAACATGCTAGCTAGTATAATACATTTCTTCATAGCTAGCAGAACGTTCCCTACATCCCGTACAGTGCTTGCAGAGACACCGAATACTCAGTGAAGGTCCACACTGACAAGTCACTACAGCAGTTTGAGATAACACAGGCCAAACTCTGTGGCTTTCATTTGACATATTCTGTTAGGATTAACAGATTCCTATTTGCCAGGGGATGAGTCTATGCTCATGTCAGATGTTTACAATTGTTAGACTGAGTAGACTCCGCTGAAGGAGACTTGAGACTCATGTGAGTTCAGCAAGGCAATGAAGGGAGAGTGTGAAGATGAGGTGGACTCTCAGAGACTCACATACACAGAGTCCATTTTGACTGATCTGAACAAGCCTCCGCATGTCTTTGTGGAAACAAGACCCAAGTGGAATGGAGAAGAATGTCTTTTCCTCTTGTATTTGCCTCATGACTCTGCAGGACCTAAATCAGATTCTATTCTTTGAAATAACACTAACAGAGCTTCTCAGCCAAAGTCAGGGGCTGTCAAAAGACTTCTCCATTTGGGGATAGATTTGGATGAGGACACGTAGCCTCTCAGAGTTTCCACTCCTCAGGAGGGCTATAGAAGACCAAAAGGAGATGACCTACCAGAATTGGCAACGGCAGGTTGTCTTTATCACACACATCCATGAGGGAAACTCCAAAGAGCTGTCCTGGCTTTGAAGAAGGTGGGGTTGTGCACTGGCTGTGCTGGCTAGTGCTGGAGCCCAGACAACAGGCCCAGTCTCTGAAAAAACGGCTTTTAAGTGTCTTCTGCCCGTAATCTAAGGAAGAAGTGAAATTAGTAGTAGTAGTTGTTGTTTTATTTGCTTAACCTTCTTTTCTTTTTTTTTTCTAAAGATTTTATTTATTTTTTGATAGAGAGCCAGTGAGAGATGGAACACAAGCAGGGGGAGCGGGAGAGGGAGAAGCAGGCTTCCCACCCAGCATGGAGCCTAATGCAGGGCTCAATCCCAGGACACGGGGATCATGACCTGAGCCCAAGGGAGACGCTTAACAACTGAGTCACCCAGGCACCCCGCTTAACCTTATTTTCACCATTCCCACTCTACGGTACATTCACTGCAATGGCTAGAAGAGGGAAACTGAGGCATTTTTTGTGTAGAATTTTCCATGTTTTGAAATTGGCCAATAGCATTCTTACGGTGTTAAGAGTTCTTCCCCAGATCCTGCAAACTGATGGTTAAACCTAGAGACTTGATCAGATTTAGTGTCAATGCTTTCAATCCCATCTACTGCCCGTTGGGCTTTATCATGAGGCACTTAACTTGTTGTTTCCTATTGGTAAGTATGATTAGTGGATTCATCCAGTGTCAGATCTGATTTTAAAAGCTCAAAAGATCTGATATTCAAATCAAGCTGAGTTTGTTAATCATCTGCTTTCACAGTGAGTCTCCTCCCAGCCTTAAGTTTCCTCTTTGGCTTTCTGAGTGCTCAACTTTTTTTTTAAGATTTTATTTATTTATTTGGCAGAGAGAGACAGCAAGAGAGGGAACACAAGCAGGTCGGGATTGGGAGAGGGAGAAGCAGACTCCCACTGAGCAGGGAGCCCGATGCAGGACTAGATCCCAGGACCCTGGGATCATGACCTGAGCTGAAGGCAGACGCTTAACGACTGAGCCACCCAGGTGCCCCTGAGTGCTCATCTTTCTATGATCAAAAGGATCTGCCTTTCATGACATGATCCGCCTGACCCCACTTCTCAGGCAGCCTCTGGTGTCTCTGCTCTGGGCCATCCCCAAGGATGACTTCCTGCAGTCAGGGTTCTTGGGAAATAGTCATTACATGCTGGCTATGTGGTAAGATTCCAGGTGACTGTGCTTTTTTGTGATACCCCACCAAGCTACCCAGAGATGACTTTTTTTTTTTTGTAAATTATGTTTGATATTTACTGAAAAGAGTCTAATCCACAATGAATTGCACCCAATTCCTCACACATACTCAAACATACATGTATATACACCATACCAGTACAAGGCTTGAAAGAAAACATACAAAAAGAAAAACAATGAGAGATTATGAATGCCTGATTTATCCCCAATTTCCAGAGATGATTTTGAATTACCCAACATTCTCTATCAAAGGAATGCAGAAGAAGAGCTTTACAAAGAAAAGGTGATCTGCAGTGAAAAGCTGAGTTGAAAGTTTCTACTGCTCAGCTACGAATGTTTTCCTTAGAAGATACCTTAACATTTGCTTCCAAAATCTGCTTAAATAACTGAATTCTTTAAAAGTCCACAGAGGAGCCAAGCTGTAGAAGGATAAACAAATGAGCAACATTTCACCAAACACCCATAAACACCTGTCCACTGGGCTTTTCTGGGATGTAGTGAGTGCATCACCGTATCCACTCACGTGGGTGGCAACACTCATGGCACCTGACCAGAAAGACCAGGATCTAAGAACCAGAAGCATCCTGGTTCTGCCACCTAGTTAGATTACTCAAAGATTCTGAAGCTTTGGTTTGCTTCACTTTAACATAAATGCTGCTGCCTACAACTCGTTGAACTAAATGTAATGTACTACTCAGCACAAGGCATGGCTCGTGGCAGCCTTGATAAAAGTAATTTCCTTGCTCAGAAGGCCTCAGGCAGTCTAGACATCAGTCTCTTCCCCCTCCAAAGCAGACATCACTCCCATTCTCTATTTAATTTTGCAACCTCTAGAAGGTAGGCAATCATGAAGGATGGCTACCACTTTACTTAACTAAGGCTCTTTCTTCCTGCCCTGAAATTGATACCCCTACCATTTTAAAAGGAGAGAAGAAAGAAAGCAAACACATTCTTAAATCCAGGAGGAGAGTCCTGTACATCAAAATGTATGCATTTGCTGAAGATACGTGTTAATATGTAAGTTGAGTTGTTGTATGCAACCTGGGTTCCCTACTCTTCCCCTAGTTTTATTATTTCTAAAACTACCCAAATATATTCCATTCTTCAGCTTTAATAAGAAGAATGCTCTTAAGAAGAATGTTGTATCCCTTGGTACAAAGCTATATATCTAGCTACTCTATGAGTATATACAGAAAATAAGTACACATTGAGTCCTATACTTTCTCCAAGGTATTTTCAGGCTTAGCTGGATGTTTTATAATGTACATTATTTGCTGTTAGAGGTCATGTTGCCTCTATTACTAATAAAAATATATGCTATAGCCATGAAAAATATAGGAATGATTAAACAAGCTAACTTCATGGAAACCTATTCTTTCTTAAACAGTCCTGGCAAGATTTGGGTTAATGTTTCCTAATGCTTGAATTAGGGTATGAATATTAAAAAATAAAATTTTTGAAACCTTGTGCTTATAGAATAACAATCATAACAATAAAATACTTTCTATTTTGGCCCAATACTTCTCAGATGAATAACACATTTTCATCAGAGAAAAAAATATCAATGGGAGAATACTGGAATGGTAGGGAAAAAAATAGCAAGAAGGAAGATGAAAAAGCCCTGACCATAAACATTCAGTCTAGCTCCAGCCTTGACCTGTGTCTGAAGCAGACATGGAAAGTGGGGGCAGAATTGAGACTTGAATTCTAACTGTAAGCCCAAGGCCACTTCAGCCTAAGCCCAGAATAAATCCAATTCAGTTCCATAACTCTTTACTCCACTGGAGTTCTTCCATTCCAGGTGCGTCTAAGCCATGCAGTCATTTGATTCCATCCTGTGATGGCCTGAGATACTAGATAAAACCCTGGAATAGGGAAGACCTGTTTCCAGGCCACAAACAGCTTGTGCTCTAAGAAGACACACAGATGTATACTCACATAATTATATGTAGAAAGTGTTCTGGGGATACAGAGAAAGGAGTTAACAGTCTACCTAGGAGAATTAAAACAAGCAAACAACCTTCCTCGAAGTGAGTTGGGTCTTAAGACCTTTGGGTTTCTCTAAGCTTGATTCTGTGCAGTTTGGGGGTTCTTGCCTCTACTGTTCCTCCCCACCCCCCACAGAGAGAGTGAGCTCTGTGTCCTCAATTTGTGGGCAAGAGTGGAGACATGAGCCAAGAGAAGACACCTGAAGAAAGGGAAGGGGCTCACCTCTCCCTTGCTCATTCTGCGTTGGGTGCCTGGGCTTCAGGATGAACTGGCCTTGCATCTCTGCGAACCCCTGCTCCAGAAGGAGGGACTCCTGGAGGGTGGAAGGAGAGATGGAGTCCTCTGGTGTCTGCGGCAGCAGTGTGGTAGATGGAAGATGGCTCATTTTAATTCCATAGGGATGTTTATGTCCTATATGGAAAAAATATAGATTCAGGCTGATGGTGATGGCTCTGATCAAATCCCCCTTCCCATGAGTGTATGCATCACACTGGTATATGCTGCTATTCTCCTGGGGCTTCTGGCACTCACTCTGTGCCTCCTGAGTGAGCATCATATTCGCTCTTGTTGGAGACACCTTGCAAAAAGCAGGTGCCCAAGGAAAAGATTTTTAAAAGAGAAAAAAAATTTAAAGCATGTTACTTTACTTGGAATACAAAGATTCATCAGTGCATTGCACAATGCTGACTTTTGCTGTGTTTCCATCTGAGAATATTTAAGGCCTTCTAGTTTCTGCCTTGACACTAACGAGATCTGCACATCTTAGGCAAATTACTTGACCCCTCTGAGCCTTACATTCATCCTTTGAAATGCTTGCCCTCACACAAACTTATAAGGATCAGAGTAAATATATTAATATGCATTGGTGGGTAATATTTTTTAAATAATTGAACATATATATTAAGAATTGCTATTCTCTCTCACATAATGTCAGTTGAGCAGATTTTTTTTCATTTCATTTTGTCAATTTCTAGAGGCAGAGCTACTCAAGGGCAGTGGGATGGGTTGCTTTTATGCTTTATACTTCCCTCCCACTGCTGCCCTTCCTCCAAGGGGAGTCCTGCCAGGTGATGATCAGAGGGAAGGCTGCACAGTGTTGGGAACCCAGAAGCAAAGTGCAAAACGATGTTTACAGAGTGGAAAACTGCACCCAGAGTCAGTGAGAGTTGCCTGCCAAGTGATTTGTTTTGTTCTTGTATGCTTTAAATTGTTTCCTCTCTATAGAATTCTCAAAGACCCTGTGCTATAGGATATGGATCTCATTTTTTAAGAACAGAATGGAAGTTCTCTTTCTGTCGTTTCTGATTTATTATTGAATGTAACTTGGGGAGCTTTTGCTGTTCCTTCTCATCTGTCATGGATGCAGTGTCAGTGATGTGTTCACAAGAATCACAGTGACTTCCCTCTTTTAAGGAAAAAGAAGCTTCTACGACAGCAATACAACCAAATCACAAAGATAACCAGGAGATAATCTGCAGTTGAGAATTGAGAGCATTGGTTAAAAATGCATTTTGAATGCTGCCAATGGATCATCATGAATGACAGGCTCTCTGGATTCCTTAGAGCTGCCTTGGTGTGTGAAGCTGCTCAAAGTCTAAAAAGTTATCATCTCTATTGTTTTACCTAAATTAATCACTTTATTAAAATAAATATATTTAAGTATTTGACTTTTTCCTTTTTGTGGTTGGCCGACTTTTACAGAGATGTCAATATTAATATGAAACATGAAATGGTGGGGGGGATTTTTTTCCTCAGCTATGCCCTTGGTGACTCTCTGTATTCTAAGACTGGGAATATACATTTCGTAGAAAGAAATTGGTTATTTAGATTTCCAGATCACTTGAAAATATTCTTTAGATAACTTGAAAAAGAGTAATAGCCTCACGGGATTATTTTCTTTTTAAGATTTTATTTATTTATTTGTCAGAGAGAGAGAGAGAGAGCACAAGTAGGGGGAGTGGCAGGCCAAGGGAGAAGCAGCTCCCCACTGAGCAAGGAGCCCAGGACCCTGGGATCATGACCTGAGCCAAAGGCAGACACTTAACTGAGCCACCCAGGCATCCCGCCTCACAGGATTATTAAAAAGATTTTGAAAAATGCATGTAAGAAGGAATGCTCTAAGATTTCTAGCAGAAATCATTGTCACCATTACCATACATTACTATACTTCAAGGTCTGCTACAGATCCTCTCTTTTTTCTCTGGTTTTTTAATCCTTCTATTTCTGGTAAGCACTGAACAATTTTGCTAATCCAAAGATTTTTTTTTAGAGAACTTGTGCTGATAACTACTTTAGGAGAGGTGTAATCTGTTTATCAATAACCTTAAGAACAGTGATGGAAAAAGCCTGAGAAACAGCAAAGTGCAGGTAGTTTAGTCAGTGAAGACTTGAGGAGTTTAAATGTGATTATCTCATTTTCTTTATGATGCTGAGAAAACTTCTGGGCACAGAGCAGGTGTTAAATACATACCTATACCTGGATTCAGAGACATGATTGGATTTTAGCGGATTCTCACAAAATAGAGGCTATTTAGTTGTTAGGAACTGGAATTCAAGACTGGAATATGAAAAATAAATGGATGGGAAAAAGAAATTCCAATTCTTTGCTTTCATACCTAAGTGAGTAAATAAGTAAGTAAACAATAAACAAAAAAATTTTTAAGACAGCTCTGTTTGTCAGGTAAAATGAAGTAGAAACGAAAAATTTACATTTCTCTCCCTAACTAGACCTTAAGCTGATGAATGAAGAGATGTCCTCAGTGCCTGGGAAAAAGTAAGCACCTGGTAATTCTTTAATAAACGTGAGAGTGAATATTGCATGTGATTTTCACTTTTAAGGGTATTTAAGCTGAAGACAGAACAACCATTACTTTGAGATGTAGAGTTACAATTTTGAACCTAATCAATCCCATCTTAGATTTTCCCTGACACTTACCAGTGAGTGGGTGTGGGGACGCTTCCTTGCCAGCACTCACCCACAGCTGGTAGTCTTTCTCAGAGCCCTTGGAAACAAAAAGAACTATGCATCATAACAAATCTTTCACAGTACTTGAAGAACACATTTCCTTTGCATTTCTCTGTTTCCAGAAAGGAAGAATTGGGGCCAGTATAAATGCCATTTGGTCCATGGAGGTAGCTACAGTACTTGTTAACTTGTTCCCTCATAGCCTCCAGTGGACCGTCCCAGGTTCTTGTCATTTTTGATAAAGGCCAGGAAACCACAGTACAATCAGCCCCTCACGGTGTGGGTGGCCCATGGCATAAGAAATCACAGTTGTGCCCCTTCGCTAAGGAGGAAACTTCTAATCTCAGAGTCCTGCCGTCCGCTGTCTCTAGATTCCTTGGATAATGCTGGCTTTTGCCGCCAAATGTCCCTGCCCTGACATGCATATTGTCCAGAGAGCCATATACCCTGCTATGACTATTCCTGAGCAAAGTAACTTGAAAGGCATCAATAGCTCAGCAGCCCTGGGCAAAAGGAGACAAACGCCCAAGAGGCCTTGAGGAGATAGTGGACTGAAGTCAGCCACTGGCTTTGGTGCAGGCAAGCCCCACTTCAGGGAGAGAAAGAACAAGGACTCTAACCTAGACAACATATCAGATGCAGAAAACAATTACTCCCAGCAGAATTACCGCCCAGTAAACCTGGAAGTCCTACTTGAAACAAACACATCTAAATTATAAAGATCGCTGAACTATTTTAGAGAGTCTTCCAGGAGACTAAAGCAAAAAATGTTTGACGTGGAGTTGTTGGTGATAGGTACTATGCTTGCCCTGGACTCCTGATTCAAAATCATGGTCTTGCCCTTATGAAGAAAGGTCATAGGTATGGACACAGACACACACACAGACACACGCAGACACACAGACACACACACATAGCTAAATCTGCTCAAAATTGTATTGCAAATAACTCGTGAGAGCCAGTAAGGTAGGGTAGGGTTTGGAAATGCTATGCTGGGATCCCTTAAATCAGGCATACATAAAGCCAAATAACCCCAATTCTTCATTAAAACAGAAATTCTTTGTGTGCTGAGATTGATCACTTTATGCAAAGGAAAATCACAAACATGAAATAAAATGAGCTTCATCATTAATCAATCTCCTCAACTTCATCCCTAAAACCACTCACTCTCTTTCTAAGACTTAATTCCTATTTAGGGTATATATATCATACAGGTTAGAAATCAATGTAGATATGTGCTTTACTCAGTACCTATAAATTCAATTTTATTTCAGATATATTATTAAATTTTGTTTGTACAGAAATCATTGATTTCTTATGCTAAATTCCAGTTGCTCTGAATTTTTAAGGGGCTTTATTATACCATTGGGTCAGACAGAATTTAAGTAAGAATCTTGTAATTATGTCATGTCATAATAGCAAGACATTTTTGCATTTATAGAGGATTTTATATAAGAAGCTGTGCTTTACAAGTGCTCCCTTCAGTTCTGTCCATCTGACTATCACTCTCCCGCTCTTTTCCCTTAGAAAACCTCATCCTCAAATATGTCCATGTTTTTCATCAAAAAAAAAAAAAAAAAAAAAAAATCCAGCAACTCACACCAGCACCATCAAAACATAAAGGAACAGGCCGTTAAAACCAAAACAAGATGAAAGTGATATGTACGCAACTGCCCCCAGATCATGGTCTTATTCAGAACTTGTCCTCTTTACCAGTTCATAAGGGGTGTGAGCCGCCTCATCCCAAGGAACTGCATCAAGAGGAGGTAGCTTCTAGCCATGTGGTCTTTATGTCAAAATGTACAACAAAACATATAATTTAGGATTCATCTAACTGGGATTGAGTCCTTGGGTGATGACCAGGGTAAACAGGGATGGGGAGGAATCAGGAACGAAGACACAGACAGAAGAGTCCAATAGAGGAGGAAATATTTAGAAACTTAGAAATATTTTATTGTCTGTGTATAAAATATATACAATAAACTGCATGTTGTTATTAGCACTCTAAAATTATAGCCCAATTTTATGCTATGATTTTGAATTCGCAGAAAATTTAAAATGGGAAGACAAGAAGAGCACCCATGTATAGGCTAATAATATAGCTTTGCTGCCTTCAATTTCTAAATCTGGGGGACAAAATATGACTATGATATGTATAATAATCAGCTGTCTTATAACGGGAGGTACACAACACACACACACACACACACACACACACACAAATCTCAAAAGTCAAAGATGGTTTTTAAATTAAAAATAGTTTGCAAGGGAACTTACAGTTATTCCTAGCATTGGTAGTGACATGTTGATAATGTCATTCACTGTGTCTGAATTTGTTACTGTTACAGTTACAGACTGTAAAAAAGAAATAAGAAAAATTGCTATAAATTTTTAAAAATTTAAAGCAGGTGACCAAATAATTATTGTCAAATTATTATCCATACTCTAAAGGCAAAGCTTGTTTTCAGTTAATGACAAAGTAAAGCATATGTAGAGCACACACCCTTGATTATATTTTCATTTCTTTACATAACATGAAGCTAGTAGGAAACATTTCAATGAAACATATATTTCCCTTCAAGGATTTGTGGCTTACAAAATATAGCAGCTTAAGCAAGAAAGAGAAAAACAGAATTCCACGAGGGGACATGAACTGACCCTCAGCTCCATAAGGCTATTCCCAAAATAGAGAGGGGAGATAGTTTAAAAAGGAGGAGCTAGATACTTTTCTCTCTTCGCAATTACATACTCAGTTTCAGCAAAATCAGAATAAGAACCGTCTGTGACAGACATTTTTTTTTTTTTTAAACTACTATTTAGTCAGTACTGTCTTTGTGTCATCATGGTTACTAAGATTTCCATTGTTGAAATCTGTTGAGACAAATAAAACCAATGAGTCTAGGAAATGAGACTGAAAATTTTAGAAGTTTATATTCCATTCGCAACTCTGACAGTGAGTAGTTACTTATAATATCTCTCTATCACACCTTATATTGAGAAACTGCTCCATACAACAAGGAAAACAGTTATTGAAAATTATCTGAAAGGGATGGATAGGAATCTGAGATGATATCTATAAAACTACCCGAATTCCAAAAGACATTTTAAAATAGGACAATATGTAACCAACCACGCATACACTTTTTATAACATTATTAGGCAATGAGGCCTGTGTTCTTTGAGAAACAGTGCATGAAGAAGACAAGCAACAGAAGTGGACACTCACAGTCCTTAAAAATATTAAAAACAAAGTTAAAAGAAACTTGTTCTTTCATTGTATTTTTCTTCTTATGAATTGAAATGCAATTGCTTGATATGACAGATGGCCCAAAAGTTGTTTGATAATCGAACTTTTATAAACAAAAGTGTTCATTGATTTCAAACTACTTGAGCTTTAAGGATTATAAAAAAAAGTGTTCAGAACCTAGCAGTAGGACTCAGAGCACCCAAACTCAAGGATATCCTATGTTAAATTGTCTAGGAGGGGCTTCCTATGTTAAATTGTCTAGAGGATTCAAGACTGGGTCTTAGCTTGAAATTTAGTTAGAAGTAATGGCTCTGCTATTTTTTTTAAGATGTCTGAAAGCCTTTCAGTACAACTTAAAATCTTTCCCACAAAATTTTTTTTTTTTTTAAGATTTTTGTTTATTTATTTGTCAGAGAGAGAGCACAAGCAGGGGGAGCCACAGGCAGAGAAGGCAGAGGGAGAAGCAGGCTCCCCTCTGAGCAGGGAGCCTGATGCAAGACTCCATCCCAGGACCCTGGGATCATAACCTGAGTCGAAGGCAGATGCATAACTGACTGAGCCACCCAGGCATCCCTCCCATGAAATCTTTTTAAAGAAAAAAAAATCTCTTTTGAAATACTAATAATCACTTTTTAATTTATCTGGTCTGCAAGATAATGGTTTTCATGGTATAAGGAACATACTATGTTCAAAATAGTAATTCCAGAGATGTATGTATATTTTCCTGCATGTTGTAGGTTCTCCAAAACAGATAAATTCCAGTAGATAGAGCTCTCTGTAAACAAATGACTTCAGAAAAATAAGCTGCTTTTTGAAATAATTTAAAAGAAAAAGAAATGTTACTTTTTTTTATATGAGTCAAAGTGTTACTTAATATAGGAAGAACAAGGAATATGTGATCAATTCTCAAGAGCTGAAGCCAACCCTGAGATGATCTAGATGTTCAGACTGTTAGCCAAAAACAGCTATTACAATAATGCTCAATGATACAAATGAAAATATGTTCACAATAAACGAAAGAGGCATCTTAGCATAGAAACTAAAAATATTTAAAAACAGAAATTTTTTATCTGAAAAATATCTTAAAGAAAAAATTTACTGACTAGGCTGCATTGCATAATGGAGATGACAAAAGGAAGTCAGTGATTTGAAAATAGATAATAGAAATTATCCTGTCTGAAGAAGAAAAGGGGAAAAAAAGATTGAAAAAATTAAGAGTCTGAGGGATCTATGAACAATATGAAAGGGTCTAATATACATATAACTGGACTCTCAGGAGGAGAGGAGAGAGAAAATGGGGAAGAAAATATTTGAGGTAATCATGATTAAAATTTCCCAAATTTGGTGAAATTAAATTTATAAATTCAAGAAGTTCAGAATATGCCAAAGAGGACAGATTCAAAGAAAACCATGCTTTGATACTTCATAGCCACACTGCTAAAAACCAAAAATAAAGAGAAACTCTTGAAAGCAGCTAGAGAAAAATGACAAATCACCTATAGGGGATTAATGTTTGATTGATCACAGACTACTCATCAGAAAGCACAAAGACAAAAAGACAGTGGAACATCTTTAAAGAGCTGAAAGGAAAAGGTTTGCGAACAAAATTCTACATCCCTCAAAATATCCTTCAAGAGTGAGTGTGAAATAAAGCCATATTCAGATAAGAGAAATTAAGAAAATCTGTTTGCACCAGGTCTGCACAAGAAATGCTAAGGATCATCTCTCTAGGATGAAATGAAAACAGTGTTAGAGGGAAACTTGGATGTTCAGGAACAAGTGAAGAACATTAGAAATGCTTATTTTGTGTAAATTATACATAAATAAAGTTGATTTTTAAAGATTTCAAGGTAATTTTCCATGGAAAATTCTGAATGTAACCCACTGCCACAGCTGAAATCAAAGCAGGCAGAGACAAGAGTGTGCTCTGCTGCTAGAGAACCCTCTGGCCTTATCTCCTTCATGCAATGCATCTACCTGGTGCTTAGAAACCAATCAAAATATTTGCATGGCTTTTGCTTTGGCCAGGAATAACTACCACTTTTTCCACCTTCAAATACTATTTTGTGTGACCTAGAGCTACTGTAAAGTATAACAGGAAAAAAAAAAATGTCACTTAAAGATACCCAAAGTATCTTGTTCATCATTGCAAATGTTTTGGCTACTGCACTACAATTTCAGAAATCAAATTTTATATCAAGAATGGGCAACTGTTTTGATTTTTTTCCCCCAACAGCCAAAAGAAAATGAGATAGAAATATGCTGATCCCTTAAAAGTGTCATCCCTCTGAGCTCAATTCAACCCTGATATTCCTTGGATCAAAAGACCTTTCAAAACCCCTCTGCAGTTGATATAACTACTAAGTGAAATACCTGACCCTTGAGGAGATCCTGTACTGGAAAGGAGACATTATTGAGGTCAACTGACAAAATGGGAACATGGAAGGCAGAGTAAAGTATTACACCGATGTTAAATTTACTAAAGGTGATAACTGTGTGATGGTGATATAAGAGGATATCTTTATTCTTGGGAAATACCTAGGTTTAAGGATAAAGGGCCATGGCATTTGTATGACCCTCAAAAATAAGTATAACATACACATAATAGGGACAGAGAAAGAAAATAAATGATAAAGCAAGTGGAGTAAAATGTTACTAATAGCTGAATCTAGGTAAAGGGTGCATGGGGTGTTTTTTGTTTTATTTTTATACCTACAACTTTTCTGTGAGTTTACAGTTATACCAAATAAAGCGTCAATGGGGGGAGGGTGGAGAACTGTGGAAACAATCCAAACCATTCTGTACATAAGTAGTAACCATTGGGAAAAATGTTTAATTCTAGTAGGAAATACCTGCATGTGAAAATCACCTTATTAGAAGCCAGTGTTGTTGCTATTAGAAAGAGCCAGGGAAATATTATGGATATTTAACATGCAATATTCTTTCCATGCTTAAGTACCGTGGCATGGATTCCTCTCGCTTCATATTACCTAGGATTCACTCTTTATGTATACAAAGACACGTGTAGACAGGAAAATACATTTTCCCACATGGTACTTTTCTAAATACTCTCTCTCTTCTTATCTTTTGCTCTCTCCTTCCTACCTCCCCATCTCTCCCTCCCTCCCTCCCTCCCTCTCTCTATCTCCATCTCCATCTCCATCTCTTTCATTCTATCTGAATCAGGAACATGGAATTTAATTTTTGGTCTTAAAAACACTTACACAGGCACAGTTCTTGATGTCCTCAGTGAAGATTCTGAGAGGAATGCTTTTGGGCTGGTCCTTCTCTTTGGCCAGACTGATATACCTAATCAAATTCAATAAGAACCCCAAATAGAGTAGGATGAATTAGCTATTAGCTTACTTTCAAATTGATCTATGTGGCTAAAATTTTCAACATACTCTGTTATTTTTAAATGCATGTAAATAAACTCAGCAACATCAAATTATGGGTTGGAAGAAAACATGCAAAACTATTTCAGGAAAATAAGACATGACTCAGAAAACAACAGGTTGCTCTTGTCATGTAAGATGTGAGTAGCAGATCCAGTCATCAAAGCTTTCCTGCCTAGACTGGAGGGCCCAGCACCTTCAAGGGTAGGAATGAGAAGGTGCTTTGAGCATCACTCAGGAGAGTAAATTGCACTTAAGAAAATTTAATATGTATCTTTTGAGAATAATGTTAGCTCCAATCATTAGGTCTGAGAGAAGGGGAAGATGAGAGTGATAACCAGAATTTCATCAAAAATAAGCAATATGTGCATGTAAATAAGAGCAGATTATTTGCAATAGCAGCCAGGGTACATCTAAATAAGAAATTATTTGAGGATAGTCTAACAATTTCTACTAAGTAGGGGAAGCATAGTGTGTGGGGGCACTGCTTTGAAGAGATTTATTCTTTTCTCATGGGTTAAAGATGTATAATATGTATAGTGACAAGATACCTTTGAAGGAAAGAATGCCATTTTTCCTTTTGTTCCGAAGAACTGCGATTTAAAAAAAATGGGAAGAAAAAATTAAGATAGATACAATATTTATACTAGCAAAATAAGATCACCATTCCAGAAAAAAAAATATCAGCAGCCAGTTGTTAAGGATGTGGATGCATGTATTAATATCATACTGTCCTCATAGTTGCGCTTTGGAGGGACCCCACTCTTTTATGAGCGTATTAAAGCAATGGGAAGTAGACCCTAAAGTGGGAGAAAAGTTGGTTTTGAATCTGAACACTTAATTGTAACTATGTGATGCAAGCTATGTGATCATGGGCACTTTGCTTAACTGCGCTGATCTTCAGTTTCCAGAACTGGAAAAGGGTTAATTATACCCCGAGTGTTCCTGCAGCTGCAAGTGCTATTCAGATATAAAGAACATTATTATTCAAATTAAATCATACTTAAGGAATTTGGCATTTGGATGGAACTATCTTGGCCCAGAAACAAGAATAGCTTTTTAGGAAAAAACACCTGTAATATTTTTATTTCTTTATACACATAGTAGATTGGAATGTGTTAAATTAGTTTCTAGAAAACATTCTTCGTTACTGTGATCCTCTGAGCAAGATCAATCCAGCTAGTGCTAAACTACTAAAGGTTAGTCTTTTCTCAACTAAAGTTTTCACAGCATTTAATACCCAAAGTTGCGAATGTTTTAAGCCTCATGCATACATGGCCTTACCACTTACTAGCGTTTTTTTACTGTGGTAAACTACACAAAATAAAATTGACCATTAGTGACCTTTAGTACATTCACAGTTTTGTGCAACTACCGTGACTGTTTAGTTCTGGAACATTTTTTCACCCAAAAGCAAACCTGTGTCCACGAAGCAGTCACTCTTCCTTCCTTCCTGTTTCTAGCTCCTGTACCATATTTTGTGTATTTGTTGATAAACACTTGGGTTGTTTCTACTTTTGTTTGTTTGTTTGTTTGTTGGCTATTGTCGACAATGCTGCTATGAATGTTTGTGTGTCAATTTTTGTGTGGACCTATGTTTCTCTTGGGTATCTATCTGGGGGTGGCATTGCTGGGTCGTATAGTAATTCTGTTTGACTTACTGAGGAACCATCAAACTGTTCACAGCGGCTGCCACATTTTATACTCCTCCCAGCAACACTGCTCCCCAACCCCTCCATCGCTGTTTCAGGATTTGTCCCATCTGGAAAATGGAACGCCCACTTAGCGTCCCAGCCTGCCTATGCGCATGGACACAGCTTCTAGTTAGCCATGCTGATCTGCAGAACAGTAATAATCACAAATAGCAAAAGCACTAGGTGCCAGGAATTGTTATAAATGCCTTCTATATGTTTACACAGCTTTTTAACTAATATAGCATGTATAAGCCTGGCTTCCCCATTTTCCTCCTTGTTAGGGAAAAAAAGTCTCTTGGAAACTCCCCTGTCAAAGACTTTATACATTCCCAATTGAAACTGTTTCCTTCCATTTGCAACATGGAGAAGACAGGAAGCAAGAGGAACTGAGAATCTTTACAGAAATACGTCGTGGAAAAGAAGACATGCGGAGAGCATATAAATACATATTTCTTCCCAATAAGCTTTGAAAACTTCTCCTTAAGTCAACGCTGCATTATAGGACTTCATAAATTAACAACTTGTAAACATTTTCGTTGTCTTCCCTTTGTGATGACGTGGGACATTTTGGTGGAGTGGGGTGAGGAGAAGAAAGAAGGGTGTTAAGTGCATGTGATGAACACTCATTGTGCAAAACAAGAATGAGACTTGGGGTGTGGTTGTTTCAAACAGCAGATGTAAGTGTTGCACCACCCCTGTAAACTCAGGAGTGTCTGCTCAGGATGTCCGGGGTAGAGAGTCACATTCCCCATCCTCGTGTCAGCCTAAGAATGTGTCTTGCACAACTAACCTCTACTCAATGCAATCATACTTTTGTTTTAGATGGTCACCTCTCTAGAGACACCAACTAAGATAATCAGTACACAGCAATTCAGGCAACCTCATATTCAATGACATGATTAATTTATTTGTATAATTCCATACTATTTTTAAAGGAATGACCTTGGGAGTATAAGAGCAATTTTTCAAATTTAATTGGACTCTTTAATAGTACTTGCTCAAGAAAAATATGCCAGTGATTTAGAAAGACACATACCCCCTGGGAATTAGGGGGCAGGATATTGGAGAGGGGTTCTAGAACCTCACTCTCTTGATTCTCCTTCCATATGCCTAAAACACCCAATTCCTCAAGTGGCTCCTAGAGCCCATGGGAAAAACCACTGATCAAAACCAAAAGAAATTACTCCAATAGTTCCCACTCTATGTTATCTACTTGCTCCCATGTGTACATACCTTTTGGGGGAAAGTACAAGGCAAATGAGTGTCATTATGGGAAGTCAAAAAGGGAGTCACTGGCTTGACATATAATCAGATTAAAATGTTTTCCTTTTTAACCCATGTAAATACAAGACCAAACGGTCGGTCTTACCCGAAGGTGGCCACAAAGGTCACCGTGGGCCAGCCCAGGATAAAGGACCTCCCAGCACAGATGTTGGCATCCTCCACTCTGTCCATACAGTTGGCAGTCCACATGGTGTTCAGTGGTATTTTCTTTTTTATCTTAAGTTTTTTCTTATACCTAGAAAGATACCCAAACAAGACCTCTGTTAGTTTGTTTCATAAATGTTATGGGAACAGCTGTGCTCATCAGAGACCAGTTCTCACTGCTCCAGGGCACAGCATGCCTCCCTTGTCTCTATTACCCTCTGTGCCCAGCACAGCAAATGGTGACATGACCTTTACAAAGTGTGTGTTGAGCGAAGTCTGGCCCTAGGAAGGCCCTGAAAACACTTCCTCAAATGGCAGCAAGTGGCCATTTTTCTGAATGTTGAGTGTTGAGTAAAGACTATATATTCCAGAGCTTTTTAAGAAAACCATTAATTCATTTATTATTGTTAGAATTTGTTTCTTATTATATATAGTTTTATGGTTATTATTATAGTTAATTATTCATTTATGACTTGCTTACTTCAAAAAGTATTTGAGGGGCTGAACAAAGCTACCTGATACACGATTTATAAAAATAGTCATACAATTTTTTGCTTAAGAGACACAAACCAGGGGGCGCGCCTGAGTGGCTCAGTCGGTTAAGCATCCAACTCTTGGTTTCGGCTCAGGTGGTGATCTCAGGGTCTTGAGATCGAGTCCCCATGTAAGGCTCCCCTCTCAGTGGGGAGTCTGCTTCCCCTCTCCCTTTGCCCCTCCCCCCGCTCACGCTCATTCTCTCTAAAATAAATAAATACATAAATAAATCTTCAAAAAAGAGAGAGAGAGAGAGAGAGAGACAAACCAAGAACAAAAAATAAACTTGGATCAGAAAGATTTTTTTTTTTTTTGGGGGGGGGATCAGAAAGATTTAAAAGTTATTTTCAACCCTTAATTTTAAAAAAATACTTTCTAGCCTTTAAAGCATAGGTTATTTTCAATTTCCCTTCTTAAAATTTTATCCATATCATTTTCCCTTAGATTCTGGCTAAAACTGAAAAACTGTTAGCCTACAGATTGAGCCCAATTTAAAAATCATCAATCCATCCATCATCAATCAATCCCAGATCAGTGGTCAGGAGGTCTTATATGTGAGTGATGGATACTTCCCATTTCTCTGAGGAGTCAGAAGGTGATCAACTTTGTCAGTGGTGAAATTGCTTTTTGACAATTTCTGCCTAATCTTCTTTGATCTCTAACATGAAAACCACCATATTGACTAATTTGGTTAATTCACAACTTTAACTCTCAGGTGGGCTTGGGATTTAAATAGTTATAAGCCCTCTGAGGGATGCTTAGGGAACTTGGACACACCACTCTGGAACTCCTTACTATTCAGAAACACATGTGGAAACACTAAACTAAAATGAGATCAAAGACACCTCATGTGCAAAAATCCCTATGACTCCAGTGATTCATGGAACAATTAAAGCTAAGACTCTCCAATGGGTTTTATGAAATAAAAATAATTTTGCTGGAAGCACACTTGAAGGATAATCTAGATTCAAAGTTTATGACACAATGAATAAAGTCATCGGATAAAATCATTATCAGATATCAGATAAAATCATTTTTCTAGATAGTAACTCCAAAGGCATTGTCAAGGTAAAAATATATGGCTAATGGGAAAGATAGACATATATCTGTTGGTTTTTAAGATTTTTTTTTTTTTCTAATGTAGGTATCTGTGTGTATACAGACACCCAAGGTACTGTGTGGGAACTTCCAAATACATTGACCTGGAAAAAGGCATTTCAGTAATTCTCTCCTTAGTTCAAGAAAGCACCAAGATTATCTACGCCAAACCAAGGAGTTATCCCAAAGCCCAGAGCATGGTTTCGACTGTCCTATCACATTTGGAGCACTTATCATATGCCAAGCACTGTTCTAAATATTTTATAAATACAAATATAAAAAATGTAATCCTCAAACAACTACACTAGGTGGTCTTTATTAGCTCTATTTTACAAATAAGGAAACTCACAGAAAGGTCAACTAAATTGCCAAAGGCAAGAGAGTTTGAACCCAGACAGCCTAACTCTTGAGCCCATGTTTGTAACCACTTGGCCTCTGTGGGTGCTGACCTATCGTTCCATGAACTACCCTTCTCATGTTTCCTACCCTCACTCAGCCTCACTTCGGTCCCCAGAGCCATCAGGCTTTCTCATTGGATTATCTGGGGAGTGAGAGGATAAATCTCAAGACATTATATTAACAAAGCTGGTTACTAGCTTGGAAATATTTAAAGTTTATTACAACAAAGCTTCATACTTCAGTGGATTCTTCTAGGGTCTTACTGCATTTCTTCACTCTCAATCACTGACCCAACTGGATTATCTCAGTAGAAATTAGAAAGTATTAATCTGATGTAAACTGACTTGAGGAGAAGAAAGAGGAGGAGAAAGAACTGTGGTTTTTATTTCTAAAAATAGTCCTTTATTATATTTGTATTAACATGATGGATATCACTCTTGCTTTCTGCTACCTCAACCTTTATACCAGAAGGGAAGCCCCAGTGCACTGTGGAAATTTACAGGATTCTAGGGGGATTTCCCCTGTTCTAAGATAGGGGTATCCTTTTACAGATGTTGGGAGTGGGGGTCCTGTTATATTCTGTAAGTAATTCTTTGTAATTTCACGGATAATGAGTTAATAGTCATCTTCATCTTTTGACCTAATTTAAATTCATTTTTTGTTTCATTTTATATTCTTTAATAACTACATATGAGGAATGTGATGTCTAAAGAACTAAGTTCAGTCCCTTCCTTTTTGTAAATTCTTCATGGGCCTCTACTAGTATTAATATCTTAATATTTATCAAGCAGATACTGTTCTTAAAAATAAAGTAATAATTTTCTTTGAAAAATAACTTATTTAGTATTCTAATGAATATCAAAAGTAATAAGGAAGGTTCCATCTGACCTCAATTCTTGAGAAATTTCTGAAGGTGTATGAAAAGAATCCCCAAACAATTTTCACTATTATTAACATCTTGTACGACTAGAGAAATATAATTTCTTTGTGAAGAAACAAACATTTAAATTCCTTTTATTATTACACACAAACTAAAATTCACTAATTTTGACAGAATAAATAGGTAGCAATTAGTCAACTACTTACCCAATTTGTGATAATTTCTATAGCGTCAACCTAAAGATGAGAGTTTCCAGCTGAAGCCTGTAGGTGAGCTGAGGTAAAATGGAACCTGGGTCACCCCAACCCCTTCTTATGGCTAATTGGAAAACGTAGGCCCTAAATTCAGATTATTAATTTGAACAGATTGATTCAGGGCATAACACAATCCTCCAAGAACAAGGATGACAGGGATGAAACAAGGTTGTTAATGCAGGAGCTATTTCTTTTTAGTTGTTTCCTTCTAGAGAAAAAAAATGTAAACTTTTCCAATATTAACAGTGATCATAAATATACCCAAATATTTACTATGGGAATGTCCTCATGGTCGTTTTCTAAAAACTGTGGCAAAAACTTGTACGCGGCCACAGCATGAAGTGCTGCTCGTGACTGCTAGGGACAGAATTGTGTCCCCTCCCCCACTGCTCCCCACAGTCTTACCGTGAAGCCCTCTCTGCCAATATGACCATGTTTGAAGAGAGAGCTTTTAAGCGGTAACTAAGTGTAAATGGGGCCATCAGGGTAAGGGCTTAATCCAGTAGGATTGGTGCCCTTGTAAGAAGAGGGAGAGAGAGCTCTGTGTGTGTGTGTGTGTACGTGCAGGCGCTGAGGAAACCCCACAGGGCATAGGCGAGAGGGCAGCCATCTGCAAGCAGAAAGACAGCTCTCGCGGGAAAGACAGCTCTCGCGGGAACCTGACCCTGATGGTGTCCCGAACTTGGACTTCCAAAAATCTGTGTTCTCTCTCTGTCAAGGGCCTTGGTTTTAGAAACCAAATTCAAGTGCCTGAGATCACTTACATTTTCTAATATTCCAAATGGATGTAAAAAGTATATAAGATAATCTTTCCGGAGCTGAGTCTCTTAAAGAGAACATTATTAAATACGTTGATGTAGATTTTGTCACATCATAAAAACCCTTGCGTAGACACAAAGACCTATCTCAAAAGCAATATGTGAAGAGGAAAAATGTTGCACTTCTTTTGTAATAGTGAACCAATCAAAATAAAAAATTCAGCTCTTAAAAGGATGCAGTTCTCTCATGGGGAAAGAACACTGCCTTTATATAAAATCTTTTCAGCAGAACACCGTAGGTTCCGTAAAACCCGCTGAGAGGTAAGCAGTATCCAGGACAATAAATGGCTCTAGTAAGAAAAGAAAGGTCTTCTCCTCTCCCTAAGTGCTATAATAATTACAAAGATGAAAACAAAGTGAAGGACAACCTGTTCCCCTTATAAATCGAATGTGAGTGCTCTGCAAGGTCCCAAGGAGCAGGAAAGGAGTTTGCTGTTTGTTAGCGTGTCTCAGGCTGAGCATGCAAGAGTAGGTGTGGCATGGTGTGGCAGGAAGAGTGTGGCCTTGGGATGAAGGCAGGCCTGGCTTGGAGTCTCTCCCATCATTTCCCTGTGGATGACAGGTGCATTCCTGAGACTTCCTCCATCCCCACTTTCATTTCTGCAGTCGGTGGATGGTAACAATACTGGCCTTGGAGGGCTGTGGGGAAATTACATGAGGAATCTGTAATGCTCCTTGTGTGGTCCCCAGCATGCATCCCACACATTTTAGTCTCCTGTACTCACCTTGGTTAAATAAAGAGAATGGTAACTAGTCTGCTTTTTTAAAAATAATGATGTGGCCCTCTATCAGGAGGAGCAGAGTGCGTCATATGGACCTCATGCCAGGACCTGGACAGTCTTTTTCTCTCTGTCCTCCTCATGACATCACCACCTCCAAGGCTACATCTGTAGGCAATATCACTCATCTCAAATATATTTTACTATTTCTGTCTTTGCCTCTGATTTTTTTTTTTTTTTTTTTTTTGGACAGCTACACTACCTTCATTTCTCAGTTCACTAAGCATTCTGACCTATTTCTTACCAGATACCAAGCAGATTGGAGTTGTTTACTCAACATAAAGGAAAGGTTGATTTCAATAATGAGAGAGAATCTAGGTGTTCATGGAATGTTGCATGAAATTCAGAAAAATAGAAATAATAGAAACAGCAGCACCACACGTAGAATAAAAGCCTGTACTTTGAAAGAAACGGACCTAATTTCAAACGTAGACTCTACTCATCACTAATATGGTGACCTGGGCAAAACCTTCAGACCTCTGATTTTCAGAGGTCTTCTCTAAAATGAAAATAATCCCATCTCACAGGGTAGTTGTGAGGTTGGAGAAGATTACATACATGAAGTTCTTAGCATAACATCTGTCATGTAGTAAGCCCCTGATAAATTATCATTAATGTCACTCAGATTGAGTACAGCATTTTGCCAAGTTAGTACTTGCATGTCTTACTAATGGCATGGCATAACTGGGAGCTGGTGAGGGCAGCAAAATAAAGGGGGCGTAGTTCTTTTTCTGGTGATTAAAAGCTTCTTGATCTTTGGTTTGTTGGAATAGTCTGTCTTTCATGATGTTTTGTGAGTAATGAAAACAGAGACAGAGCAAGTAAACAGCTGACCTCCCATCCACCTGCTTTTGGACATTATTGAGCAATCATCAGGTTCCAGGCTGGCTATCAGTTACCTTTGTGTTCAGGGTTGAGAGGAAAGTGCACGCAGTTAGTTCTGTCTCCAGCATACATTCCCAGGCTGTCTGCTGCCTCCTTCCTTTTCACTGCACTCCTATCCTGGAGCCCTTGGGAGCAGCCATCAGGACTACTGCCTCCCCTAACCAGTCTCCCTGCCCCCACTCTCGCTTAACCATCCACCCATTACCTGCCAACAGTCAGAAAAATTTGCGAGAGCTATAAATCAGAGTCGGTCAGTCCTAGTTAAGAAGGCTTTGGCAAAATAGTTCCACTTTTCAACATGGCCTGTGAAGACCGTGTGTGCCTGGACCCTGAGCGCAGTTTCACATCTGATCGCATGCCCCATGCTTTCGGCTCCCATCAAATCAGCCTTCCTGAGCCCCTCCCCCCAGGGGTCAGGTTGCACCCACGGAGCCTGCCGGTCCCTCAGCCTAGAAGGTTCAGGCACCTTGTCTAGGACTGTGGCTGCTTCTCATCCCATAGATCTAGTTTCAGTGCTGCCACCTAGGAGAGGCCCTCCTGGACTACCCCTCTCGCATACGTTCCCATCATCTCCACACGGCCCCCTGTCTACTTTCTATCAGAAGCACTAATCACAATCTATAATTACCCCTCTTATTTTTGTCATTTGTAAGTTCCAGGCAAGAGACACACTGCTTGTCACATTCTCTACTGTATTCTCTGCAGGCGGGGGGGGGGAGGGGGGTATGGCACAAAACAAGACCTCCATAAGTACTTGTTGAATGAATGAAGGATCCAAACATGGGCAAAAACAAAAGAAAAAAAATGTCATGTCTTCTTATGGTAAGGGTTAATGGAAATGTAACCTCGTGATCATCACAAGGGCACGTTGCTTAGTATACATACTTGGTATTGGACACCAGCAAGAAATCGCTGAATAAGAAGAGGTGCCGCTTCTGCCTCCTCCAGCCGCTCTTGAGCTCGACGGGGCCGTGGATAAGCAGGGTATGGGCGGCACCCTCAGATGATGTAGTGCTTTTGCTGCAGGCATCCACCTCAACAGAAGAGCTCTTCCTGCAACCCACCAAACACCACGGAGCAGCTAGTTACTAGTCAAATATACAATAGAGTTTTATGCTAAATGTCAAGGTTCGCACAACACTAAAATTTAGTCTCAACCCCGAAAGCAGAGCTCCAGAGCTCACATTCAGGGATCGCTGAGTTATAGAAAGCTATTGAAAGAGATGAGGTCGGACGTCTGGGTGGCTCAGTCGGTTAAGCGTCTGCCTTCAGCTCAGGTCATGATCCCAGGGTCCTGGGATCGAGTCCCACGTCGGGCTCCCTGCTCAGCGGGGAGCCTGCTTCTCCCTCTGCCTCTACCCCTCCACCCTGTTTGAGCTCTCTCTCTCTCTCTCTCACATGCTCTCTTTCTCAAATAAATAAACAAAATATTTTAAAAAAGGAGAGAGAGATGAGGTCACTTGGTGAATTGATGCAGATGGAGAACAGTTTCAAGGACAAAGCCCTTGGGCATGCCAACACTTAGCAGTGGGGTGGAGAAAGCAGCAAAGCTAATCATGAGCTTTTAGGAAGGGGAGGATCAAGAGGTAGAGTGTATTACAAGAAGGCAAACAAACAACAACAACAAACATGACAATTGGCGGCCTAATATAAAACAAAATGATATGGTGTGTGTGTGAAGAATTAATTACAATTTGCTTTCATCTTAAGATAAAAATGAAGACAACTGAAGATTCTGGAAATTTACTTATCTAAATCTATCTAAATCTTATCTAAATCAATATTCAAACTTGGGGGGAAAATTCTCAAAGATCGGCAAAAATACTGGAAACGTCAAAAAGTTTCTAAACACAAGAGTTTAGCTATTACTTGGCTGAGCTCTGACTGAGCTCTGATAGGACTTTCTGGTCATCATAGGTAAAACAGCTAAATTGAACAGAATGCAAAAGTTCTTTCATAAATAGGACAGATATTTTCATAGACCTGGGAAAATTCTCTCTCGTGGAGCCAAGAAAGTGTCTCCTCCGAGAATGTAAACCCTGCTCTCTTCAGCTCAGCAGCACTGAATCTTACGAACCTGAGTAGCCTTTCACGAAGCTGGTGCTGAAGTTACTCATTAGTGTACACGTATTAGAAGAAACAAAAGAGAACAACACTTCCTGTTATTGTCAGTCTGTTTTGAGGCTCAAAAATAGTATATCAAAAGACTACCTTCTGCAGTGAAGCCTTGAATGACCACCTATAAGTTCTGCATACTTTCTGAATGATGTGAACATCCTTTTGTCTTCAGTTCTCAGGACTGAAAATCAAGTGAGTCTACAGCACTAGGCAGAGTACTGTAAAATGCTTGAAGCCTGAGGATTCCACAGTAACCTGAGAGCACTACCATTATGATGTCACGGATCTAAGGCTCATGTCGTAACTGCCAAACTGACATACTTGTTTCCCTGATTTGGCCTGCACGTTTTGATTTTTTAAAAGTAATCTTTTTTATTTTGAGATAACTATAGATTCATATGTATCTGTAAGAAATAATACAGAGAGATTACATCAATTTTCTACAGATAGAGACTTCCAGACACTTCCATCACCACAAGGATCCTTCCTATTACCCTTTTACAACCACACAAACTTCCTTCCACCTCCCCCACCTCTTTAATCCCTGGCAATCATGAATCTGTTCTCCATGTGTATAATTTTGACATTTCAAGAATGGTATACAGAGGGGATCATATAGTATGTAACATTTTTGTGATTTGCTTTTTTCCACTCAATCAACATAACGGGAGAGTCATCCGGATTGCCACAGGTGCTCACAGTTCATTTCTCTGTGTCTCTTAGTAGTATGCCAGGATATGGCTGTATCACAGTTTGCTTCACCACCTGCTGAAGGAATTCTGGATTGTCTGCAGGCTTGGGCGTTCACTAATAAAGCTGCTGTAAACATCTGTGTACAGGTTTTTGTGTCAGCGTCGGTCTTCTCTCCTCTGGGCTAAATGCCCAGGACTCCAATTGCCAGGTCCTAGGGTAGCTGCTCTGTTTTGTTTTTTAAGACACTGTCTAACTGTTTTCCAGAATGGCTCTGCCATTTCACATTCTCACCAGTACTGTGGGAGTGATTCAGTTTCCCCACATCCACACTAGCATCCACACTGGCAACTAGTGTTGTCATTTTTTATTTTAGCTGTTCTGATAGCTGTGTCATGATATCTCACTGTGGATTTAACGCGCATTTCCCCAATGGTTAGTGATGCTAAACATCTATTTGCCGTGCGGACATCTTCTTCAGTGTGACGGAACCTACAGTAGTCTGTTAAAAACATTTTCTGTGGAGACGGTGTTCCCTGTCCACTAGAAAACTGACCATTTTACAGGTGAGGAGGTGCTTCACGGACAGGTTAGACGCTTTCAATTCAAGCAGCTGCGACATAACATGAAGGATTCAAATCCAGCTGACTCAGGAGGTCACTCAGCTTCCTGTGAGGGCCCCCACTCTTCTCACACGGACAGTGTCTTTCCTTTGACAACAGTGGAGGACTGAAATTTGATCCTACTAACAAAGTTCATGGTTTCCCTTATAGGCACCTCTAACAGGTATGTGAATCCCTCTCTTTTATTCCCCACTCGACTCTATGGGCCTCAAGGAAAGAGTCTATGTCTGATTTATCATTTTAATTCTCACAAACATTGGCACATTGGAGGATTTCAAAAATTCTCTTGAATGGGTGAATGAAAGAGTTTTCTGGCATGGATGGATGGGGAAAAGGCATGACCTAAACTAGTCTCTCTCTCATTTACTTCATTCATTCAACAGATAGTGTTTGAACCTGTACTAGGAGAAAGACACTTGCTAGGTCTGGGCAACAGAGAGCCAGGCCCAACTCTCACAAAACCAGGATTTAAATGGGGGGTGGGGGGGGGCAGAAATTAAACAAAGAGTGTCATCAATAACTGTGTAACACCAGACTCTGGAAAGTACTGCAGAGAAAAATTAAAGAGTGAGATGAGAAATTAAAAGAGGGACCTGAGGGCGCCTGGGTGGCTCAGTCGGTTAAGCGGCTGCCTTCGGCTCAGGTCATAATCCCAGGGTCCTGGGATCGAGCCCCGCATCGGGCTCCCTGCTCAGCGGGAAGCCTGCTTCTCCCTCTCCCACTCCCCCTGCTTGTGCTCTCCCTCTCTCGCTGTGTCTCTCTCTGTCAAATAAATAAATAAAATCTTTAAAAAAAAAAAAAAAAAAAGAGGGACCTGACACCTGATTTCAGTTGTGAAGAAGTCTCCTTTGAAGAGCTCCTTTAAAATGAGCTTTAAAGAATAATTAGGGATTGATTAGAGAGAGGAGAGAAAAGAGGAAGGCAGAGGGAAGGGACAAGAAGAGAAGTGTATTGGAAGGGAAGATACATTTTTCAGCTGAAGGGACAGAATGCGAATATGTGACGTTTCAGAGACATGGAAGAGTTTGCTAGTTTGGAGATACAGGCAGAAGGTACAGGAGCATGAAATATGCCTGAAAAAGTAGGTAGAGGCAAGAGCACAAGTTCTGGTAGACCTTTTAGACTTTACTGAGGCCTCTCATCTTAAAACCAAACTAGCACAGAAGTGACATGTAGATAGTGGCCTTCAGACTTTTCACCACTTTTATTTTTTTTAAGATTTTATTTATTTATTTGGGTGGGGGGTAGCAGAAGGGAGAGGGACAAGCACAAACAGTGCTGAGAGTGGAGCCTGACCTGGGGCTCGATCTCACAGCCCTGAGATCATGACCTGAACCAAGATCACGACCTGAGCCGAGATCAAGAGTCAGAAGCTTAACCGACTAGCCACCCAGATGCCCCTTCTCACCACTTTTAAAGGGACAAGTGCTAGTCTGGACATGTTTGATTGTATTAGAACCATGGAGGCTCATGGGGCAACACTTTCTGGCCTCCCATCAAGCATCTGTCAACATTTATTTAATGTAAAAATGTAGGCAAACTTATCTCTGCACCTTCCCCAATTCCCAGATTATGTCCCATTTCTCTGCCTCTCCCTTCAGAGAGGTTAGAGATTTAGAGACCAGGAAAACTCTCCTTCTAGAATCTAGTATCTGCTTATCAATACTGATATGCATCAGTCTCACTTGGGGGAGTTTTCAGGCACTCCCTCTGTAACCCCCAGAGGTTCTGATTCATCAGATCCAGAAAACCTGTATTTTGAAAAATTTTTTGAGTGATTCTTCTTTGTAACCAGGATTGTGAGTTACTAATCTTCAGGAATTAATTGAGAAAGATGTAGTGTTCTGATTCTATCTTCCACTTGTAGTAAAGCCAAGGAGAGAAAAGTTTTCTTAGAAAGATAAAGGGAGCTTTCCTTAGTCATGTAATAGTTACATTTACAGTAATAGCTAAAGCTTAATTTCTTCTAAAATACCATTGCTACTTATTTTAATTTGATGAATGAGCTCTAAATAGAATAACAGTGATAGGGTTTGTTTTCATCTATTTCATCTATTTCATCTATTTCATTGAACACTTAACTTTTCACCCTAAATATCAAATAGAAGAGATAGTATAAGGTAATCCTATGCCCATAATACCAATATTTTTAAGCATGTTGCAAAGACAAGACTATTTAAAAAAAAAATTTTGAAGATTTTATTTATTTGAGAGAGAAGTGAGAGAGAGAGAGAGCATGAGCAGAGAGGGGGGTGGGGGGGAGGGGGAGAAGCAGACTCCCCTATGAGCAGGGAGCCCGATGTGGGGCTTGATCCCAGGACCCTGAGATCACGACCTGAGCCGAAGGCAGATGCTTAACTGAATGAGCCATGCAGACTATTTTCTTAATTCAATTTCTTTCTTTTAATTTTTTTATATTTATTTTATTTCAATTCCAGTATAATTAAGTGTTATTATTAGTTTCAGGTGTACAATATAGTGATTCGATAATTCTATACATTACTCAGTGCTCATCATAAGTGTACTCTTAATCCCCATCCCCCCACCCACCTTCCTTCTGATAACTATCAGTTCGTTTTCTATAGCTAAGAGTCTGTCTTTTGGTTTATCTCTTTTTTATTT